TATCCGAGATATGAGGGAATCATCAATTCCTCGGATATACATGCCCATGTCAAATGCATCTATGTGGACCTGTGGGTCCTGACTTCCATCATACTTCTGCAAGCGTGCCGAATCAAAATCTTTTAGAAAAAAAGCATTCAGTATTTCACCAGTAAAGGGGTTGTTATTATACTGCCCCCTACCATACTTCCTTTTGCAACCACCGGGTTCCACACGTCCTCTGGTGGTTTGGGCATCCTGGTTACGATGTGTGCCATCCCGGTTTCTCTGCCCTTTTGCTCCTGCTGAAGCATTTTGGGTCAAAGTTTGTGCGTTGTCATTCCGATCACCCATTCCATTGTTCTCCGGGTTTGGACCCAATGTACTCCCAAGATTGGTCCTTACATTGTTTCTCAGGTTCGTACCCGATGCAATCCCAGGATTGGGCCTTCCTCGGTTTTCTACTTCAGTAACCCGGTTTTGATGATCCGGATTGTGGTCCCCTTCACGGCCATTAGCATCTCGGCCTTGGACCTCTTTCGCTCCAGCCCTATCGTCCCCCTTAAGCGCTATTCCAAATCCAGCATTCTCCTGGTATTTTCTTCTTGCATTCTTTGAAAATCTTGCTGTTAGAGGTTGTTACGATTCTCCATGTCCTCCATTCGCCGTAAAATTATGGCGAACGCATTTTGAGAAAGTCGTGAATCAGGATCTGCAGATTGGGCAACGCGAGCAGCAATATCCCCAGGATGTTGGGGAGGATTATTCAAGACGGGAGCCGCAACTCAGTCGCGGGGTGCTGAGGTAGAGGCTGTGTCTGATACATCCTCACTGACATGAACATGATCGTAATCCACCTCATTCTCAGGCTGGTTTTGAGGTCGATTCGCCTCTTTTAGGATTGGATCCAGCGGCTGATTCTGAGGGTGTGGCTGTTGGCTATCACTCCTTGTACGGACTGCCATCTTCAGTCAGAATCGTGGGAATATCAAATTCAAAGGTTCGATCCCCACAGACGGCGCCAATGTTCTGTCTTGGAGACAGAGATGTCCAGCCCAATAGACTGGTATGTTGATCTTGGATCTAGTGCCCTCTCCAAGGTATCTATGAAGGAGATACCCTTGAGTCAAGCAGATCACTGTGCACAACGAACTAATAACAGCTTTTGCCAATGGGGTGTATGTGTGCGCATAGTGACAACATAACAATAAGAGAGAGAGAGAGCGTAACGTACCTTTAGGGTTTATCTCTTATTTATAGGAGTTACATGTGGGTAATATGAAGTGGACCTTTAGTATCTCTAATGAGGGCTCGGGCCTGCGTGCCATGCTGTTGCATTAGGATTAGTATCCTTAATGGATACTATCCATAATTATACTTGATTTAAATCTTGGATTGCTCCTTGTTGGGCCTATCATCCAATGGGCCCCTTATACGAGTCCATAACAATGTATATTAATGGACACATGAAATAACTCACGGAACTCGGTGCAGAATCAGATTATACCTCCCCCACTTACATCAAAGGAGAGAGAAAAAATTCTCCACTAGAAAAATACGTGAGTACGTCTCTATATGTTTTCAAGCACCATATTTCAAGGAGGTGTGAGGTTTTAATTATGAACATTTTCTAGATTCGCTTATGCTTTTAATTTTTTTTATAAGAAAAAATAGTGCAATGGCACATCACATAAATTATGCGGGTTGACACGAAAAGGAACTGGTGTTTAGAAATTCGATCCATCAACTCGGCCGAGGTCAAGGATCACGATTTTATATATTAAAAAAATAAATATATATCCTATATGAAATTTTTTCAAACATCATCATAGAAAACTACATACAACATTCATTATGTCAACTTCATGCCTTCTAAATAAAAATTTGTCAACCCTTACTTTCTCCCAATCTACTTTCATGATCCATTGGAGCAACGCACTACATCATAATTATTATAAACAGCAAAGCATTCTATTTTATTTGCACTTTTTTCTTGAAATAAAACACATACATTACAAACTGCTTACCAAAAGAAAAAAAAAACATACAAATTTGAAATTTGTTTAGACTCTAGAGAAATAATGTCATCACAGAGAGCATAAAATAATAGCTTCTGAAGAAATATACCTTCCACTTCAAAAAATTTGTTGTTTCATGAAATACTGAATGAACTTCTCTGTACCATTTGAAGTCACAAACAACAACTGAAAATTGAAGTCACGCATAAAAATTATGAACAACATGTAAAAGGATATCCTTTATCCAAGAGAGAACGACGGAGGAGAGGCAGCGACGAATCAAAGGTGGGGAGAGAAGAACCAGCACAATGGAGGATTGGGAGAAAGAAGACCGGAGAGGATAGGAGGAACCACCTCCACAAGGGAGGAAAGGCGGAGGAGATCACCGGATCAGGGAGACTGGGTCTGGTGGAGAAGATCGGGAGAGAAGAAGAAGAATGATTTAGATTTTAAATCTAGTTATGGATCTAGGAAGCAACTGAGTTTTTTTTCCCTTACAAACCTAACGACGTAGTTTCGTGTGTAAATTCATTTTTTAAATACAGTGACCCCTTCTGACTCGGGAGTCACCGAGACCCGGCTGGGTTTCGAGGGTCAGAGGGTCAACATGCATGCAGGGGTTAAACTGTTGACCCCAACCTTCAGAGAAAGGGATCGGTGACCTGACGAGGCAGGGTTTTAAAACACTGGACGAAATAGATAATACTTAAATTAAAATTTATGAGCTCTTGACACCGACACAAATCACTTTTTGTGCGGCTTGACATGACATGAATTGGCCAAAATGATAAACAACTTAAAAAATACGAATCAAATGTGTTTTTACATGTTGACACGTGACACGACATAGTTTTTTTCGTGTCATATTTTTGTCAATACGAACATGACACAAATTTAAATATGGATCAACCAAAACATAAATTTTTGTGTCATGTTCGTATCGTGTTAGCATGTCGCGTCAAGAATTGACACCCCTATTTGTTTCTTTATTGTTTTTAAATACTTTTGGATCAAAGAAACAAATGAACCTCCCCCGTGTGGAACCGTGGAAGAGGTAGAAGAGAAACACCATATTTTTAGTTTTGGGCTATACTTTTACACATATTATATATCGAAAATGTATTTTTGCAAAACAAATATTTTTCCTACACAACCATAAAAAAATGTGCAACCTCTTTTTTAAAAAAAAAAAAACAGTAGAACCTACTTTTCTGTGTAAGTTGGAGAAAAATCTCCTCTCCTACTACAGAGAGAAATATAAGCCCCATTATATATTATATATTTATATGGGATCCTGATGATATGTTTAAGGTGGACCTTTGGGTTGCATTTTAATCCCAATGTTCATTGATTTTGCATCTTGTGTGAAATTTGGATATTCTAGTGGTTCATCGAGGGTGATGCCTCACCCAATTCTCATCGAATAAAATTTAATTAAAGAATGCTGAGTTTGATATAGTTTTTTAGGTTGATTGTTCCAATGTTGGGTTGTTTATCTATCTCCTTGATCTTGATGTTAATTGTTATTAAAGTTGATTTGCAGATAAGTAGAGATTAAAAGAAAATTTCTCAAACTATAATTTTTTTTTTTCGGTGAACTTTCAAACTATAATTTAGAGTAAATATTCGTTTTGGTCCCTAACAAAAAACATGGTCCCCACTTTAGTCCTTTACAAAAATAAATTAGTCAGTTAATCCCTAACAAATTCAAAGTGGACTCATTTAGTTAAAATCGTGGTCCCTCACAAATTCAAAAAAGACCCATATTAGTCCCTCAAAAGGACTAAAATAGATTCACTTTGAATTTGTTAGGGACTAACTGACTAATTTATTTTTGTAAAGAACTAAAGTGGAAATCGTATTTTTTGTTAGGGACCAAAAATGGTGTTTACTCTATAATTTACTTAAGATGTTGAGGCAGATATTTGGGTGCAGCTGCAGAGTACATTCAGCCTGATTGAGGCAAAATAATCTGGATGACTAAACTTCAAATAATATTAGATGTATGACTAAATCATAATTAAATAATGGACCTTTTTTTTTTCTTGGTATTGATTTTTTTTTTATAGATAAATCACAATTATCTTTCAAGGAAGGCAATCTTTTTTGAGACGGGTCCAAAATTAAAGCTTTAAATCCCTCTCAAAGATGAAATTAGAAAAAATCAAACACATACTCTTCCCCTTACCTACTCAACTCTCATGTACCAACTAAACTATAATTATTTGGTTTTTCTTAGTATTGATTACATAATGGACTTTAATACAAAATATAAAAAAATTTGTTCCATAAGAGAATACATTTTTTACTTATGAGAATAAATTCTCTTGTACGACATAAAGGTTATATGAAAAAATATTTACCGTCGTTCTGCAAATTAAGAGTGATGAGAGAATATATCAAATAAAGGGTGATAAAAAGAAAATCATTAAATTGTACAAATTCTTTCACACAACCTATACCACACGAGAAATTCCCCTTACTTTATACATAAACTTGAAGGTAATTCATGAATTATCTACTTAAAATATTCCTTAAACCATCTATTACAATCAATGGAAGATGAAATTTCAGTACCGAAAAACTACCAAGTTCATTATTTCAACTACAATAAATGAGTAAACATTTCTTTTAATCTCTAAATAAACAAATAACATCACTTTAATCCCAAAAAAAGGTAAATATCATTTCAATCACTTAAGTATAAAAAAAATGACAACAATTTGATTCTTTGAAAAACTAACATTAATTTATTCTTTATCATAAAAGATACACTAATTTAGATGTCTGATCTCAAAAACAGTATATAAAAAGGCAATTTTAATGTTACTTTTTATATTAAAAAAACTAAATTAATGTCTTTCTTTAGAATCAAAATCATGACACTTGTACTTTCAAAAGTTACAGATGATTGTTTAGTCAAAATAAAATGTACAACGTTGAAGGCAGGAAAATCATCTTCGAAGGCATTTAGTAAAAGGCCTTGTAGTGCAATAATGAAGAACAAATTACACTATTACTTTGCAACCGAGGGTTTTAAACACCTCAAACCATTGTTGAATGTTGAGGCATTTGATTCCACTATGTGATATTTTGATATAGTAACAAATGGATTTATCGCAGTGTTAGAACCATTTTCAATCACATTTACATATGAGACAGGCATATGATTACATAGAGAGTAAATAGCCCTCATAAGCCTCTCTTAAAGGTTAAAACTACTCACTGAAGAGCGTAAGTTGCTGTTAGATACTCTATAATTTCTGCACTCTCAAACATTTCTATCCCAGTGTTTGGATCTTCCAAAAAGGGTGCCTGGGAACCATAACCATCAACATTGATATTAATTTATCCACTAACCAAATACCATGTTATGAAGCTTGCAATGTTGACAAAAACTCACTAATTGAATAAATCAAGTACCTGGAAATGTCCAGTTTTCTTGTATAGTATCTGTCGTTTTGGGCTACCCCTAGCACAACTAAAATGAAATATTAAAGTAAGTAACATGAACCAAAAATGGTATACATAATACATTTACCCCAACAATACATAAATGTCCATGAAAAATTCGTGCATGCATTATAAGTCAACAATGAAGATTAAACCAAGGAATTGATATCAACCAAAAAGTACATGGATTTTACCTGCAAAGCAGGTGTGGCAGCTCTAATTCTACAAGTACTTCACGTACAAGTTTGCAGAAAGGAGACCCCTGAAAGAAACAAGTACTTAAAATTAAAATTCTGTGGCAACAGATAATGATCACATTATCATTATATCCTTATCATTATCATGTGCATAACAATCTATAATTTAGTGATAGCAATCATTAATTCATTAAGCGTTAGGATGCATGGCTTGTATGATGTCGACAAACCTCATATGCCCATAATTTAAGTGGCTTTGGAGGTAACTTTGCTGGAGTATAACTTGTCCCCTGAAAACAAAGATTGAGCACTTGTAGTATTCTTTGTACAGATAAAACTGAAATCCCAATGACAACAAAAGCAAGAAAAAAAAAAATTGAAATTCATATGTAGCAGTCTTAGTCTACCAGCCATCTTGGCATATGCTAGTAATTCGTTCCATTAACTTTAGAGAAAGGGTTACTTTTTAATAAGAATTAGTTCAACAATACCACTTAAAAAGGGGGAAAAATTAGACATTAACTTTACCTTTCCAATACGACCGAGCATGGCAAGACCAGCAGTCAGTGTCTGCAGAAAAATATCAGACTTTAGATACTAATATCATTAACACAGTTCAGCTTACTATTAAAAAAACACTGATAGTGGAGTCAGGTTCTAACCGTTAAAAATCCAAGTGATAAAGTAAGAGGAACATTTCCATCACCTATAGAATAGATAATGAATGATCAACACTCAACAATTGGATATTTTTGGGTAAAGCATGGCATTAGCTAAACCTTACAGGAAAAATGACAATGAAATCAAAGTCTATATATATATATATATATATAAAAGGAGAATTGACTTACACTGATGTAAGAATAAGAAGTTTTACAGTAATCTTAACCATTGATTTATTTGCATATATATAGGTATATAGATAGATAAGATCAATGACTAAGATTGAGAGGGTAACTTCCATTGGTATAAAATGATGCTATCCCTATACATATACACTACAATGTAGCAAGATAGTTTCTGAGGTATGTACAATAAGGAATTGTCTAAACTTAACATTTTTTTATGCTTATAATTTAAGTGATCAAATACACATTTCTGAAATGTATGGGTGGTAATCTCTTCTCGCCTATAAATATCAGTATATTTTATAGCTTGAAATGCAATGGGAAAAAGATTACATAACATAAGCACACAACAGAAAACGGTATATATGAAGACACAAACCATATTTGCCAACCAAATACTGAATTATGTCATCTGATTCATACATCGAAACGCCGGTGTTGGGGTCTACCTGAAACGAAGAAAAATAAGAAAAATGTTATAAGTCACCAAGAGTCCAAGAGACACTAAGTAATCAGCATCAGGCATGACAAGGAAAGTGATGATAGATACATAATAACTAGTAAAAATTTTGGAAAGCCAAAAAACAGAATTTTTTTTATTTTTTTTTTGTAGGGAGAACATAGAAAAATTTTACTGCAGCTTTAGATGGTTGTTTGTGCTGTTTTATTTAAGTCAGTACAAATCAATCAATGAGGTATGTACATGAACAGAATACAAAAAAAGTAGTTTATGTGTATGAAAATTTCCAGAGTCTAGCTCCGGAAGGATTCATGAATTTCAGGATAGTTTTTGCATTAACTTCACTGAAGTAGTTTTAGGTAAGTGTATTTTTATCCTATCCTTTTTAAAATGTTAGAAAAATCATAACAAAAAACTGCTGATTTTGTTTTGTTGTTTGCTTTTAAGTTTTAAGAAATCAATCTTACCATGTAGGGAAACTGCTGTTTACCACCCATCTGAACAACCTTGGGACGAAAATTTGGGCCATTTCTTGGGCAAGGATAGAAAAGAACATCAAGGTCCAAAACAGCAACAATTTCTCTAACCTATATTATATAACCAAAATATTAGTCCACAATCCATAACATAAAAGAAGGTTTGTTAATATAGTAATAGAAGAATGCCAGTATTAGACCAGGACAAGAAACAAATTCTTGAAAAAGAAATTAATTCTTAAGAAAAAAATCTTGAAAAATGGAAACGTGAATCCTTCAAAACCAAAATCCATACCTTTCGACAAAATGGACAGCTGCACACGATCCGTTGCAGTACATGATTAAAGAACAAAAACAATATATGGAGTTAGTTTATGTGTCATGTAAACAACAAAAGATTAATGAAAAGGTACAAAAGCAACACAGAAAGCTAGTTTTAGTCCAATGCATAAATGCACACTGACTAAATCCAACAATTTTAAGATATCGATTCGTCAAGACTATTGGGGAGGGTGGAGATGCTCAAACCAAAAATCGAACTAGTTGCAACATTTTGGATACCAGTTGGTATCTAATAAAAAAATATATCGACAGAGAAATATAAGGTACCTCTCAAATTCATATATCTCAATAGGCTTCTCTGGGCGAGGGCCTAAATTTGATGTTTCTTTTACCTTATAGCCTGAAACCATACTATTAATGTTAACAAGAAAATAAGGAACAAGATTTAAAAAAAATTAAAAACTGTTCAATATAAATATGTTGCTATATGAGGTAAGTATTTTCTGATATCAATCCAAATTGTATATAACAGAAAATTTAGAAATGTGCCACAACACTACACTCAGACAACATCTTTAATCTGCAGATACACTCAGCAGCCAAACTTTAACAGTTCAGCATTTTCTTAGCACCAAGTGATGAAAAAAAATCTGCCAACTTTACAAGCATTGCCATCTTAACTTGACAGCTAAAGAGATCTTTCTTTGGAACCTTTTTATGCTTGGGCAACATGTAATTTTGTAGAAAATTTTCATGGAAACAGCTACCCATTGTCAAGTTGGCCTACAACTCTCAATGTTTCCACTTTCTAAGTCAAAGTTGCAAGTCAACCAGATATTTAATGACTATTTGACAATTGACCTAATTAACTTGGTATGCAATAATGATCATTAAACATAAGAGAATGTAGGTGATACCAGAAACTTCCATTGCAAATTGGTCTGGTGGAAATTCATCCTTAGAAACAAATGAAAAAGAATACCTGCCAGGGCACAACAGAAGCACAAAAAATTTAAAATTTCTGCCAGTATCCTGATATACTTTCACATATAACAGTTTTAGAACACCCTCAATAAAATCAACAAAACCTTTGCATAACTTGTGGTGTGTTGGCTTTATCATACTGCTTTATGAATAAGCTACGTTAAGTAATACTCATGAATCATTTATGCATTCAGCAGAATCTTTTTACAATCAATAGATAGAAAACTCCAATCCAAAATAGATTAATTAATTATGATTTTCTGCTTTCTTTGAACGAAAATAAGTTTTACAAGTCAATAGCTCCACACAAACACAATAAAATTTGGGCCAAATTCTAGATATTTGCTCACTTGTAACGCAGTACTTTAAGAAGTGAATCTCCTTTCAAATGCTTATTCCAGTTTAAGCCCTGCTCCTATTTTAAGTTGCACAGTTCAATCATAGAATGTATATGCCGACACCAATTTGATGCTATAGCATTCTAAATATAACATGTAATAAAAAATTTCATGGGAAGCCAATTACGACTAGTCTTTCACAGTATCACGATTCTTCTAGCAGAAGAGCTATAACACCAATCATATCAGATCCCTCTATCAGAACTTGAATCAATCTTATTGAAATGGAAACAATATCAAGTTTGTCTATGCAAACATTCAACGGATGTTTTCTCTTTCTATTGAACCTATGTTATGAACATCACACAGCCAAATCAACCCATTGAGATTGTTTTACCACCACTCTACCTAGATAGTTGCTTCAATTCAATCACTATAAGAATTGTTCTAGAGTCCTAGACCCACATAAAGGGTCCCATAGGTTCGAAAAGATAAGGCCTCAAGGTAGCCCTGATTCAAGATAATGGGTCTTATCCAACAGAAGTTATGTCCCACCCAAACTCTTTAACTCTCCATCTATAAATAGAGGGTTAATTCACGTAAGTACACACTTCTAAAACCCTAACTATCACAGCAATTGAGCACACATACCACGCCCTTGCTTCAACTCGCATTATGTATAAGTAATCTCTGCCACCACGTGCGATCATCTCTGTAAAGAACCAATTCAATCCAAAAGCTTAGGTTGAATTGGTTCTTTACATGATAGAACTTATGGTACCAGAACCTCGTGTCTCGGGTTCGATTCTCACCGCCCTCACTTTCTCTTGTGGAATTTTCTTAGCACAGTTGGTGGGTTTGTGCATTATCCAACCCTTCATGTTCAGTGGGATCTCTTGTCAGGGGGCATGTTAAAGAAAAGTATAAACCATTAAAAAGGCCCTCACTAACACCTTAAGGTTTTGGGTTAAAGTAATTCTTTACATGGTATTAAAGCCTCGTGTCCCGGGTTCAATTCTCACCGCCCTCCACTTTCTCTTGTGAAATTTTCTTAACACAGGTAGGTAAGTCTATGTATTGTCTACCTTTCAAGTCCAGTGAGATCTCGTATGAGGGAATATGTTAGAAAATAATATAAACCATTAAAAAATCCTCACCTAACTTAAGCTTTTGGGTTGAATTGATGCTTTCCAATATCCAAGATCAACTACGCTTAGATCAAACAAGAAACTATGCTGAAACTAACCAGGACTAAATATTAAAATTACATTACACTATTACAGCGAAAACTGAAAAGCAAGAAATGCTATGCACAAACATGATACGGATTAAGAACTCCATCCCATATATATATGTTAAATAAAAGAGGGGAAAAATCAACTTTGAATTGTCACAGGCTACAAGCGTTAGAATTTAGCTATGGTTGTTGTAAAACTAAAACAGAGAAAAAAGAAGAGAGGAAAAAGAGCCAGAGAAGGAATTTGGTTACCCAGAAACGAAAACTCCAGTAGCAAAGCGAAAGAAAATGGGAAGAATAGCTCCAAAAATCTCACCCCTCTTGTCAGGTCTCACTGCAAAGGTTTTGGGCTCAGGGGGTTTGAAATTGGGTGGAGGAGCAAATGTTACTGATGAGGATGAAGCTGAATCATCTGATGTTGGTTCTTGTTGGGTGCTTACAGAAGTAGAAGAGGAAGAGGATGAGGTTTCTGACATGGCTCTAATGCAAACCCTGTTTTTGGGAAATTTTCTTGGCAATGAAATAGGCCTATAAACTGAGAATTGGGATAGACTCAGAGCACCAGACATAGCCATGGCTTTGGAGAAGGGAAAGACACAACACAAGTGTTGTTGGGAGCTGATGTTTGTGACTTTTGTGTTTTGTTCTGGGGTTTTACGAGAGTTATGTGTAGGAAAAGTGATTCTGTTATATTATAGAGATTCGTTTTGCTGCTGGCCTCACAAAATGTTGTGTGTAGGAAAATTTTTGTGGTCATGTTAAATGATAGATGATAAACCCTTTGTTTTGTTTGTAAAACGACCAAATGCTATTGGTGGTTGCTTTGATGGCACATTTTTTTGGCCAATCACCAATGACATAGATAGATAGAGAGGTACTTGACTCAGTGTACTGGCACATTCACAAACACTCAACCCAAAATATCTGTTTTGGACATTCCATCAAAGATTCCACAAAGTACATACTATGATTTTCTCCCACTTGCTTTTTATCCTTTAGCCTCGTGTGATCAACGTGCATCCTTTTTTTTTTTTCTCCAGTAATTATTTTTTTAAGAAATAAATTAGTTTTAATTTATCAACAGTCTAGAATTGGGCCGATATCACCCATGATAGGTCATAGAGACAGCTTAATTGCCGGCGATAAGTAATTTATCAAGATAATAATTAATTTTTTTTATTAAATGACCCTAATTATTTTATTTTTTTGGTACAAATGACCCTAATTATTATGTTGGGGAAGGGGTGTACACGATTAATTCCGAGTCGACTAAACGACCCGTTTGCATGAGTCTGTTAAAAAAAATTATATCTTATTTATTTTAGAAGTATTTTTTACAAAAATTAAAGTTATTTAAATTTTTTTAAAAAAAAAATTTGACTCCTAGTATTTTTAGAAGCTAAAATTTTTAACTTTTAAAAAAAATGGATTTTGGCATTTTTTTAAAAAAAAGTAAACATTCAAGTGAAATTTTTCTGAAAAAAAAAAAAACTAATTCAAACGACCCTACCGTAATAATTATTCAACTTTAACCTCTTTTATCAATTCCTCCAAGGTTCATAATTCTTAGGCTAAATTACATAAAACCTCCTTCAACTTATATGTCTTTTGAAAAAAGCACCTCATACTTTTAATTCAAACAATTAACTCCCTTCAACTTTAAACTTACAACAATCAAGCATATTTTACAATTTTAATACGAAAATAACCCTGTCTTCGCCACTGTATCACCTGCCATACTGGCAACCACCCGCCCACTCGCGGACCTAGGTTAGTTTTATTGTGTGCACTTGCAGACATAAAGTTGAGGAGAATTTTTTTTTTTTTTTTAAATAGGGTGTGTGATTCAAGTCAAGTAAAAAAATAAAAAAATAGGAAGATTAAAAGGAAAAAGGTAAAGAGTGGACCAGAGGAGAATCACACGGGATTTTTCATGTTTTTTTATGAAGCAAAACTGGTCAACTTTGGATCAAATAAACATCGACAAAGGTGGGTTTTTGATCGATTAACCCCTACAATTATACTGTATTTTACAATTGTCTTTTTGTGGTGTTTATTTATTTTTAATTATCATTATCGATTATTTCCTTGAAACTTTGGTTGATTCACCAAAGCTTTACTTTTGAAGTGGAAGCAAAAATTGGATCATGATTATAATCTTTAAAAAAAAATAGGGGGCGCCCTGAGTGTGCAGACATAAAGAAAATTTTCTGGGTCCGCCACTGCACCCGCCTGCCACCGGCTGCTGTCAGCTAGGCTTGCAATGTCCATTGACCACCATCTTTCGTCGCTGCCCACACGACAACACAAGGCAGGAGTGATCACTTCATTGGTTTTTCAATTGTCTTATTTTTGGGGACAAATACAAGGTTTTCTAATGGAGAAGAGCAAATTTTGCTGCTATAAAAAATGCAATCAAGGCTTTAAAATCACTCTCATTGGGCCAGATTCCGTTGATGGGATCCCACCGGTGTTTTCCATTTACATAGATGTAGGCGTCATGTCGAAGCACAAAAAAAACTAGGTTCATCACTTGATATCCAATTTCAAAAATATAAATGAATTGAGTGACATTTTCTTTTTCTTTTTCTAGTGGATTTAAATATGTGAAGTGTTGGAATTGTTATATAATATACAAGTTCCTTTCAAGTGTTAGAATTGCATTTTTCTATCTGGGCACTATTTGAGTATTTTGTAGAATTCAATCGATTCTCTTGCGGAGAAGAGAATAATAATTTCTTATGCTCTTGAAAATTCAAGGAGGAGCAAGACACCATAGCCATGACGACCAACGGATAAGGCGGTGACCGGACTCACCGAAGGGCAGTGGCAGCAGGGCTTGCGGGCAACGACAAGGTCAATAGGTGATGGAATGTTAGGTGAGTTTTGAACAGGGGTATTTATGTCTTAAAATTGATAGATATGTTTAATTGTTTTAATATCAAAGTTTAAGGAGGTGAATTGTTTTAATTGAAAATGCATGGTGGTATTTTGAAAAGATGCATAACTACAAGGTGGTTATATAAAATTTACCCTAATTCTTATTATCACTTTGGCCAGCCCAACCCTTCATATTAGCATAATTAATTTTTTATTCGTGGCCAAAATTACTTTCACTATTTTAATTATCTCAGGTTCGCGGATTCACCTACGAAACATACTTTATAGAGTAAATATCATTTTCTACTCGTAGTCCTTAAGAAATTTAAAGTGGATCCATTTTAGTCCTTTTGAGGGACTAATGTGAGTCTTTTTTGAATTTATGAGGGACCACGATTTCAACTAAATGAGTTCAATTTGAATTTCTTAGGGACCACAATTTCAACTAAATGGATCCATTTTGAATTTCTTATGAACCACGAATAATCTTTTTATCTGCTAGGGATTAAAGTGGATATCGTAAAATCTGTTGAGAAAAAAAAACTATTTACTGTACTTTATATATAAGCATCTTCATCATATCACCTTTTTTTCCTCCTCGGAAACACAGAGAGACTCATCATGAAGACCAAAAACAATACACTTCAATCGCTAGTAGTTAACGCTATCTGAACATGATAATGATATTACTCTATAAAGTATGTTTCATAGGTGAATCCGCGAACGTGAGATAATTAAAATATTGAAAGGAATTTTGGCCACGAATAAAAAAATTAATTATCCAAAAAAAAAAAGAACATGATAATATTAGTGACATGCAATGTGTAATTCACATAATTTATGCAGAAAAAGTTTAATGAAAGTTGTAAAATAAAAAATAAATAAAAAATAATGAAAGTTATATAAAAATATTTATAAATAATTATCATCAATTAATAACATTATATGATATCATTAAAAAATTAAAAATATTTGTTGAAAGTTAAAAACTTTATATAGAGTCCGAGCAGAGATGGACTCCGAAAGTGTGGCCCAATGGGTCATACTAATGCCCCTCGGCTGGTTCTCTCGACCTCTTGGTTTGTTATTAATATCAGTTCATGTTGATATAGTTGTGGTGAAAAAAATTTTGGAAGTTGATATATTATTTCACGATTAAAGTAGGATATATTATAAATGTCCTATCGGAGACTAAGAATGTTAAATGTAAAATAATGAATCATGCATATGATTATAAAATACCAAATGACAATAAATTCGAGTTATGAATGTATATACCTTGATGGGCCATCACAAAACCAAAGGAAATGCGGGAACAAGATGTTAGGGTCTTTCAATCTATCGCCTATTCTGAGATTGGCAGCCTTCTTGCGATGAAAGCATGATAGCTCATAGGGCTTAACCCCAATATAAATAGGCTAGAGAGGGAAACCTAGCCAATTACTCAAAAATGAATTTGTGTCTATTGAATCCACTCATCATGAAAAATCAGGGTCACACTAAAACTTTTGCAGCTGCATAACTAGGCCCAATAACAAAAGATATCAGAAGCCTAGCTCAATATTATCACAATGGGCTAGTCAAAATAATAATATTGGAATATCCATTAATCTGATTAATTTAAAATATAAAATTAATTAATTAATATTGCCTACATAAAGGAAAGTTTCTAACATTCCCCTACTTGGGCTATATTAATTAGTTTAATATTATTTTGAAAATTATTTTATTTCGAAAACAACGCCGGTTAACAACTAAAAATTAATTTTACGTGGCACGATTTTGAAAAGCAATATTCCAATACCAGCATCTCAATACGATTCAATCCAACATAATCCCATTATAGGAACATGGCGATCAATATACCGAAAATATCATAGTATATGACCTTCCACACTCACATACAATGAGTATTATATCTTTATGAATCATGAGCCTAGTAGTGTAGTAAGAATTAGTGCCAAAATATGATCAACAATGTAACACATAATTCTTATCGGTCCTCAATATAATTTCTCAACAAAATGAAATTACATTAGTGCAATTTCCAAGAAACATGAAATTACACTTCTAAATGCAAACTCTCAAGAAATTAAATAAAATTGCATCACTGCAATTTCTAAACAATATGAAATTGTTTTGCTTAAGTAAGCCAGTATCTCACAGTACAACATGAGATCTCAACAGTGACAACTATATATCTTTAAACTTTAGAATATGTTTAAAGACAATTATACTTCACGGTCAACAAAAGAAAAATAATAAGAAAACAACGATGATCATCAATCATAAAACATCAACAATTCTCATAAAAAAGACATCAGTCTGCATGCAAAATAACTGAAAGCCAAATAAATAAACATGACTCTCAATAATTAAGGGAATGAAAAGAATCAAAGATACCCATATTCATCACATCTTCCTTGAACAATACGGGTCACAACCCCTTTGTCAGTGGATATGCCAACATGAACTCAGTTCTAATATTTCCAATAGCAATGTCACCCTTTTATTTCCAAAATTAAAACAATATCCTTCGTTGTCAAGAAAAGAAAAAGAAATCAAATTCCTTCTAAAGTCAGGAACATAAAACACATTATTCAAAAAAAATTAATTCAGAATCTGGAAGCGAAATAACATTGCTCACATGCAACATATCCACACCAGCATTGTTCCCAACTTTAAGTTTCGCCTCCTTCAGGGTTGGTTTCCTTAGGTTTGTTAGACCATTTGCCCTTTTGTTTCTCATTGTAACAATTGATTCTCTTGTGACCCTCCTCCTTGCAGTGAAAGTATTTCATAACTTCTCCTTCATATTTTTCATTATTACCCTTCCTCTTGAAATTCTGAGATTGTTTAGGAGCAGGAGAATTGTGCCTTTCGAATTTCCCTTTATTCTTGTTGAAGAATTTCGTTTTATCATTAATGGAATGAAGAGAAAAAGCAGACTCATCATTTTCTTTCTTTAACTTGTCTTCTTCAGGAACACGTTTCTCAATCAAGTCATTAACACCCTAAATTTCATTCTGCGTAGTGTAAGCAGTCTTAATCTGGCTAAAATCAGCAAGCAAAACATTCAGAACATGATGCACAATAAATCATCCTGAAAAATAATATTATAGGCCTTCAGTTTGTCCTGAATGTGAACCATCCTCAGTATAAATTTTTTGATTTTGAAAGAAGCATCGTATTTCATATTAGTAAGTTCATTCACCAGATTCTCCGTCTCAGCTTTGTTGGAAATTTTAAATCTCTCACCAACAACATTAAGAAAAGCTCTAGCATTAAAATCCTAAGGTACTAAGCAGATGCTTAGCAATTGACCTATTTATAGCTATAAGGCTCAACGATTTGATTTCTCTCATCTAGCATAATAGACTCTTTGACCGTCAGTACTTTCATCAGTGGGCCTAGGCAGTTCATTTTCACGTAAAGCCAAGTCCATATCAACAATTCCCAACGCAAATTTTATGTCTTGTTTTCACTTCTTGTAATTTGATCCAGTCATCATTTCGACAGTGGCATTATTATTGTTAAGAGCGAAGTTAACTGATTGACACACATAATTCAATAAATTTGTCATGAGCAATAAAAATAATAATTAAATATCATAAAATCCTCTTTGGACAGAGTATATCATATATAATTATTTTTCATCACGTGAAGATTTAATAACAGAGAGAATTATATATAATTATCTAAAATTTATCCCCTTTTGGTAGATAAATTTTATGAATAATTTATTTGGCTAGTGGTGGAAATGAATAATTTTATAAATAAATATATCATTATTTATAGTTTTTTTTTTGAATATTAATAATAATTTATTACGTTAACAACATATAGTTGTGGATAGACCCAATAAAAATGGGAACATGTGATATATAGAATAATATATATATCAATCCACTAGAGCTAGCCTAGTGGTGTGGGTGTATATAATAGAGTGTGAGTTAGTGTGTGGTAGTGTGTTCGATTCTATGTAATTTTCAAAAAAAAAAAAAAAACAGCAATATATATATCTAATTAATTTATAGTTGAATATGTTGCGATTTGTCAGCACCGTTGTACTATTTTTGTGTACTAGTAATACAAAATATTATTATAGTATACCATGCACTATACAAAAAAATCATGATATGATGTTTGACCAGTACCGCTAAGTTTGCTATATCACTTGTGTTATACAATTAACAAAAAGCACAGTATTTTTGCAGTTAACTATATTGTGCATTTGTTATCATAATATGCTATGTATTCATTATAGATATATCTTCTTGTTATGTTTGAATATCTAAAAAAACAACAAAACAAAACAAACCGCAACTGAAAGAATATTGAGTGCCTTAAAATCTGTGAATAGAATAGGAGTTAAAAATTAAATGCCTTAAAGTTCACAACCAGTAAACAATATATTGAGTAGTTCGCAAAGGAAACAGTATATTGTAACAAACAAACAAATGTTCACAACAAAACTTCCATGAAATAAGTGCAACAATAGATAAGATTCTTTGTTTCTTTTATTTAAAAGAAAATCTTAACAAAGAGTAAAAAAAATAACAACAGAACTGATGAGATCAAAATTAGATAAGACGTCAAAGAAACAAACTTCACCTATTCAATTATTTTCAAAAAAAAATTAAATGAATTATCATTTTCAAAAAAAAATATCGCTAGAAGTTGCACTATAATAGTGCACGTTTTATGAAACACTTTTCACGAAACAGTAAAGTGATAACATGTTTATTGTTAGCATGTTTTACGGAAACAACATTCAGGTGAAAGAAATTGAAGTAACTTGTATCAATTATTAGAGATATAGATAATATTTTATTTTATTTTAATTTATTATGTTTGTTATTTTATTTTAGGGTGAGTTGTTACAATCCCCACTTTTTATATTCTCTATGTGATATTCTAAAATTTTCTATTTCATCTCTTGCTCTTCTATATAAGAGCTCCAATTATGTACAAATCAATTACCAATCAATAATATCAAATTTTTTCCTTATTTCTCTTTTTCATAATTCTAATATGGTATCATAGCGATATCATCTTCTACGAGGGGTTTTTGCTAGCTGTTATTGTTTTTTCTTTGTTCCCGTAATTTATCTTCCTTTCCCTTTTATGTCACTTTCAGTAAATTTCTTCGATCATTATTCTGGTCCTTTTTTTCGGCTATTTTTCGCCTCGCATGATTTTCTGGCGTGTTCTTCTCTGGGTTTTTTTAGTTGCTAGATGTCTCTCATTCCAGCACCTTCCATGTTGTCTCTCCGGTCTAGTCATGCTAAATTTCCATGCGTTTTCCAGATTTCTCTCACTGCATTTCAGATCAGTGGTCTCCATCTACCCAGCTATGTGTTCTTCTCATTTTTCATTTGTTGCAGGTCATCTTTTTGCCTTCTGTCTAGACACTTTTTTTTCTTGTGTCTTCTTCTCCAGCTATGTTTACTTTGTCCAGGTTCATCGGTCGATTTTCTTTTTCTTTTTCCAGATTTATGTCGGTTTTGTCAAGATTTGTATCTTTTTTATAGATAGTAGTTATTTACAGTTATTTTCTGTTATTTTAGCTTCCCTTTCTGCTATATAAAGCAGCCCATCATGTACTCTTCATGTTAATCAAATACCAAATATTTCATTCTCTTATTGCTTCTGTTTTCTCTTTGTTCACACCATGTGTGAATAGTTCCTTTTCATCTCAAAGGTCTGATATCTCACATGGTATCAGAGCTATTCAACGATCCATGGATTCTGATCAATCATCTCCAAGATCCGCAACAAGCAATGAAAATGCAAAATCAGTCAAGCTCATTATGAAATCTTTCTCAAATCCCATTGCTGACAAGCTTGATGAAGAAAGCTTTCTTCCTTGGGAAGAACTTGCCCTTGCTTCAATACATGGGCACAACTTGCAGGATCATCTCAACAAAGACAAGATCCCCACCCGTTTTTCAACTCAAGAAGATAAAGAAAGTGAAAAAGAATCTGAAGAATATGCAACCTGGCATCAACAAGACCATCTTCTTGTATCCTGGCTGTTGTCCTCCATGAATATATCCTTCAAAAACAGAATGGTAGGATGCAAATTCGCCTATGAAATTTGGACAAGGCTTCAAGTGTATTTTGCCTCACACACTCAAGCAAAAGTTAAACAACTGAAAAACCAGCCGAAGTCCATCAAGAAGAAAGGACCAGCATCTGAATATCTCCTTCAAATCAAGAAAATCATTGATTCTTTGGGAGCTGTAGGTTCTCCATTAACTGATGCAGAATATTCTGAAGCCATCCTTGATGGTTTGAGTGAAGAATATACTCCTCTCATCACTTCTGCAATGTCACGATTCCCACCCTTTTCAATCATAGAATTGGAAGCTTTTCTCCTTGCTCAAGAAGAAATGCTCGAAAGATTCAAAAAGACAGATTCTCTCCCTATTCAAGCAAATGTTACACAAACCAATCTGCAGCAAGAAAACAAGACCACCAACACTGAAGGAAGGTTCAACAGTAATGATGGAAGATCCTTTGGAGGAAGAAGAGGCAGAGGAGGCCGTGGCTTTAGAGGTGGAAGATCTCAAAGTCAGTCTTGGAATTCTTGGAATCAACCTCGCTTGCAATGTCAAATATGTGGAAGAGTAGGACACCCCGCTCTAAAATGCTTTTACAGATTTGATTCCAATTATCAACCATCATCTCACAGCACCCAGAATCAACAACCTCCTCCACCTCCACCTCCTTCATTCCACAACCCCAAGGCCTATCTCGCAGGACCAGCCTCTCTCACTGACAATTCTTGGTATCCAGATTCTGGAACTACCCATCATCTCACTAATGATTTTGGTAATCTCTCTTCTAGCTCTGAGTTTAATGGCTCTGAGCAAGTTCATATTGGAAATGGCACAGGTATGCGTATTGCACATGTAGGAAATTCTTTCATATCATCATCTGCATCTCCTTTTATCTTCAAACTTGATAATTTATTACATGTGCCTTCCATAACCAAAAACTTAGTCAGTGTATCTCAGTTTGCTAGAGATAACAAAGTGTTTTTTGAATTTTTTCCTGATTATTGCCTTGTCAAATCTCAGGTCACTAAGGATATTGTCCTCAAAGGCAAGCTTAAAGATGGTCTCTATCAATTTTCCAATGTATTAGTGCATAAAAATAAAGCTGTTTCTTCACCACCTATTGCTTTGTATTCTAAACATGTTTCTTTTGATCTTTGGCACAAAAGATTAGGCCATGCTAGCTCTAAGGTTGTCACTTCTGTATTGCAGCAATGTAACCTTCCTGTTTCTGCTAATAAAACTATGTTGCATAGCTCTGTTTGTGAAGCTTGTTGTTTAGGCAAAATTCATCAATTGCCTCATTTTCCTTCTACAACTTATTATGCTGCTCCTCTTGACCTTATATTCTCGGATGTCTGGGGACCAGCCCCTATTTCTGGATCTACTGGCAGTAGATATTATGTGTTATTTGTAGATGCTTTTACTCGATACAGTTGCATTTATCTTTTACAAAATAAGTCTCAAGTTTTTCATGCCTTTTTACAATACAAGTCTATGATTGAAACTTTCACTAGTCTGAAAATAAAATCGATTCAAACTGACAATGGCAAAGAATACATATCCAATGCTTTCACTCATTTTCTGCACACTCATGGCATAATTCACAGACTCACCTGCCCTTACTCCCATCAACAGAATGGTAGAGTTGAAAGAAAACATAGGCACATAACTGAAGTTGGTTTGGCTCTCTTAGCAAATGCCAAACTCCCCTTATCCTTTTGGGAAGATGCCTTCTCTACTGCTACTTATCTAATAAACAGATTGCCTTCACCTGTTACAAGTTTTACCTCACCTTTTGAATTACTTTATCACAATAAACCTGATTACAGTTTTATTAAAGTATTTGGGTGTGCATGTTTTCCCTTACTTCGACCTTACAACAAGCATAAACTCGATTTCAGGTCTCACAAATGCTTGTTTTTAGGATATGCTATAAATCAAAAAGGTTACAGATGCCTTTCCCCAACAGGAAAAGTCTTCATTTCTAGAGATGTCATTTTTGATGAGACTGATTTCCCTTATTCTGATTTGTTTTCTAACACATCTTCCATTACATCCTGTACATCTCTACCTTCCTCTCTTCCTAGGATACCTTGCATCACTAGGCATACTAAACCTGTTTCTTCTCCCCTCACTATATCACCAGATGCTACTAATGTTTTGTCAAGTTTTTCTCCTTCAGGTACTGCACCACATTCCTACTCCCACACCTGTTGATGGTTCTTCCTCCCTCACTAATCAGAATTCCACTCCTCAAAATTCTCACCCTATGCAGACCAGAAGCAAATCTGGCATTCACAAGCCTAAGACATATGCCACTGCCTTGCTTGATTCCTCTTCAGATCTTCACAATTCTGAACCTCTGAATGTAACTCAAGCTCTTAATTGTGCTCATTGGAAGCAAGCCATGAATGAGGAATTTCAAGCTCTTATCAAAAATGGTACCTGGACCCTTGTTCCTCCTCCACCCAACATCAAACCCATTGGCTGCAAGTGGATTTTTCGCATCAAGAGACAACCAAATGGAACAATTCATAAATACAAGGCTCGTCTTGTTGCAAAGGGGTTTCAACAAAGGGAGGGTTTTGACTTTGATGAAGTATTCAGTCCTGTCATTAAACCCTCCACCATTCGTCTCATTCTTTCCATTGCTCTCACAAAAGGCTGGATCATCAGACAATTCGATTTTAACAATGTCTTTCTTTGTGGCACTTTACATGAAGTTGTCTTCATGCAGCAACCTGATGGCTTTCCCAGCAACAATCCTCATCTTGTTTGCAAGTTAAACAAAGCCCTTTATGGTCTCAAACAGGCCCCCCGTGCGTGGTTCAATACTCTCAACCTTACTCTTCACAAATTCGGATTTCATAGCACCAAATCTGATCCTTCATTGTTCACTCGGTTCACTTCCACTTCTACTACTTACATCCTTGTGTATGTTGATGACATACTCATTACTGGCAACAACTCTACTGAAATTTCCTCTCTTATATCTCAACTAAACAACATCTTCTCTCTTAAAGATCTAGGACAGCTTCATTACTTTCTTGGGTTGGAAGCCGTCTACACCTCTCCTACCACCATTCATCTGAGTCAAACCAAATACATCACTGATCTTTTAGAGAAAGCCAAAATGACCTCTGCAAAACCTATGCCTACCCCAATGCTGACGGGTCAGAAGTTATCAATGGAAGGTGACACTGCTTTTCCAGATCCTACTCTCTATAGGTCCATTGTTGGTGGATTGCAATATGCCACTATCACTAGACCTGATCTTTCTTTTGCTGTCAATAAAGTTAGCCAGTTCATGCATAAACCTCTGGAAACTCACTGGAGAGCTGTTAAACGCATCCTCCGATATTTAGCTGGAACCAGAACACACGGTCTTGTCTTTCATCAATCCAAGGACCTTCGCTTACTTGCCTTTTGTGATTCTGATTGGGGGTCTGATATTGATGATCGCAAGTCTACTAGTGGATTCTGTATATATCTTGGTTCAAATCTTATATCTTGGTCCAGCAAAAAGCAACATGCTGTTTCTCGATCCAGCACAGAAGCAGAATTTCGCAGCTTAGCCTCTACGTTGGCTGATATCACTTGGCTTCAGTCACTTCTTCATGAGCTGCATATTCCTTGTACTACTCTTCCCACTGTGTTTTGTGACAATGCAAGTGCTGTCATGTTAGCAGCAAATCCTATTCTTCCTAATCGTACAAAGCACTTCGAAATTGATCTCTATTTTGTACGGGATCGAGTTATTCAAAAGCAAGTTTTCGTTCAGCATATTCCTGGCACCGAACAAATAGCAGACCTCCTCACGAAACCTATTTCCGCTGCCACTTTTCTATCCTTTAGAAACAAACTCAGAGTCTTTCCTCTGCCACTGAGTTTGAGGGGGGATGATAGATAGTAGTTATTTACAGTTATTTTCTGTTATTTTAGCTTCCCTTTCTGCTATATAAAGCAGCCCATCATGTACTCTTCATGTTAATCAAATACCAAATATTTCATTCTCTTATTGCTTCTGTTTTCTCTTTGTTCACACCGTGTGTGAATAGTTCCTTTTCATCTCAAAGGTCTGATATCTCACACTTTTCTCTCCCTTTCTTTCAAATTTGATCTCGATCTATGAATTTTCTTTTCTTTTTATCATCAGAGCTTCTTTGTCTTTTTCTCCTTTATTTTTGTTTGTCCTATTTTCTAATTTTGGTTTCGGGTTGTCTTCTATAATGACTTTCCCGACAACTTTCTCTTTGCCATCACCAGCACCACACTTTCCACTTCTATCAAGATCCTAACAAAAAGGTTCTCTAGGTTTACTTGATACATGCAATCGAGCGTCTAGTTCTATCTGTTCTTGTATCTTCTCCCTATATCTTCTCACTTAGCCATTCCAGCTTTGATTTCTTTGGAAGTTTATTGGTTCTAGCTTATTTTTCACATGTTTGTGGTGTCTCGAGTCTACTTTGACTTCTATTTGGTTTTCATTTTCCATTATTTAGCATTATTTTGGCCTCTCATTCAGGGGGAGCATTTATCTTGGTTGTTGCCTGGTCCACGGATTATCTGTTGACTTTTATCCCTATTGCATCAATGTTGTTCAGCTTGATATCCTTCCCAGCCTTTCCTTTGATGATGTCCATTCCAACATATATTAGATGATGTCTATTCCAACACTATCTATTTACTAGCTCTTCAAACTAATGGTCATTCTAGTTGATTTGTATTGCTACCGATTTCTCCGTCTTATATTCTGTGAAGCTTCGCTTTACTCTTCTTTCTTTCCAAGATGGAGTGTTCATTTATGTAGCACCAACTTGACATGCGATACGTGACAGACATGACACTCCGACATGTCAATCCTAAAAAAATATGGATTTCAACACGTTGGGACATATTTTAATATTAAATAACAAATTTAATTTATATAGTGTATATTTCATTTAATATTCAATAATTTAACAAAAAAATAAACTAAACTAATAATACCCATCAATTTAACAAAAATAAATAAATCATTTCCATAATACCATTATATTAATATAAAGCAAAAATAATAGCATATCCATAGAAAAACAAAAAATATGGAGATTACGGATTACCTTCATGGAGCATTTTCATCTAGAATAATATTTGACTCCACCTCAGGCTTATCAAGTGAAAGAGTAGCAACTTCAAGAATTCTAACATCTTCAAATGTATTAAATTAAATGTATCTCCAGTAATGTCCCACATTCTATTCTCCCCTTGTGTATATTGTGGTCTTTGTTGATAAGAGCCGAAGGTTGCTATATATATAAACCAAGTCTTCTGCACATTTTGGAGTCATCTTATTGCTTCTTACAGAATGCACAAAAGAATAAGTACTCCAATTGCGTTCAGCACAAGATGAAAAAGAAGGTTGTGAAACAAGTCACAATGCTATCTTTTGAAGCATAGGTGCACAAGCACCATGAAGCACCCACCAAGCTTTGGGCTCCATAGAACATCGATTTTGCATGGCATCATAATCTCTAAAACCCCCACTCATACTAGCAAAGTCCATATACTCCAAATTTATTTTATTTCGGTCCTCCAAGTTAGAAAAGTATCTCTTAAAGCATTTTTGTCTTTCTTGATTAATCTCTAGATCCTTGTCCGGAGGAGCTCGACTAGAATATTCATTAAGCCATTATTCACTATAGTATCTAAAAGAAAAAAAGAAAAACAATTAACAGATTCTATCAAATAAGAGAAGTATTAAATACATTCATATTTAAAAGCTTATACCGAGATTCAATGTATGTGCCAAACAATGAAGTGGAGTTGAATTTTTGGTTCAATGATCCACAGGAATGCCATGCACTGTTGGACAAGTGGCCTCAAACTCAAGAGGGGGGGTGAATTGAGTTTTAAAAATATTTTTGCAAAATGCCTCTCTTTCTTTCTTGAAAAATATTTTCTTGAATTAATATGATTTTTACACAAGCAAAGCTTAACGAGTAGAAATTAATACAAGCAAGTAGTATGCAAAGTGTAGATTTAAATAAACTCAAGTATTCTAATAATGCTTATGTAAAGAGATAAAGAGTTAGAGAAATTGCAAACAAGATATATCCTGGTTCGGTCACCACCACCGTGACTTACGTCCAGATTGAAGCCGCTCATTCAACTTTCCACTATCGATCAAGCTTCAAGGGTGCTTGACAAACCACTACAACCTTCAAGACTTTCGGTTCTTGAAACCCTTACACTTACACTCACTTTCTTAGGTTATGAGCAACCTTTACACTAGGATCTCACTACCCTCAACTCAAATAAACATAATGGAAGTGTTTAGAAATGGATTTGTTGAAGTACAGATTATACAAGTTAAAGCTTATGGGTATTGATCAATGACACAAGAATGAAGCTCAAAGGAGTTTTATGATCAATATGAGTAAGAACAAGTGATGAAATGAGTTTGATTTAATGAGATTAATCAAAGATGATTGCTAAATTAATGGAACAGTAAAACTTGGCTTGCTGGTTCGTAATTAATGAGTTAGACTGTTTACTGTCCAGTAAGTATTCGAATAATTTTCGTGAAGTATTCGAATACTTCATCTGGTATTCGACTACTTTTCTTAAGGTATTCGAATACTCTGTTCTCAGCACAAGTATTCGAATACAGGCAAGAAAGTATTCGAATACTTTCTTGACAGAACATCAATTGTGCAGTTTTTCTGAGTTGTAAGGCATTCCTATTTGTCTCTAATTACTTTTAATGTAATTCCTTGACTTGTTGAGAACGTTTTGAGGTTACGAAATACGTCAAGGGTCTTTTTCATAAATATTAAAGCTTTCAAGTCATTGATGACATGGATAATGCATGCATAGAGTTAAATATCCTTTGAGCTTATTTATGCATCATTAATCAATTACCTTTACATTTAGATCTAAGCTCTCAAGGACATGTTGCAATCTTGATCTTGTGTGTTGAATGATTTTCTCTTGTTGTCTTGTTGAATTGCTTCCTTGGACTTTTGAAAGTTGCGAGTTGTATTATCTTTGATGTCGCTTCTAAGCTTGTTTGTTATCATCAAGACTCTTGTATAAATGAACTCTTCATTTTAAGTGCATTGGTTTCACATGCACAACTTCATAAAAAGTTAAGGTCTCATCCATCCTCTTCAATTCATTAAAGTATATAGCTTTCTTCACTTTCTCAATCATCTCATCCCACATATTATTAATCAAATAAAGACAAGATTTATCATTGTCACAAATCCTAATCATATTATAAATGGGAGCAGTGAAAACAAGTATATAATCAATTGAATCCCACCAAAGATCATCCAATATCTTATCTTTAACCATTTTCGCCCGCCCTAGATTATTATCTTTATATAAACTCCATTTTTCATTGATTACTGTATTTTGGAGACCACCTTTTTATCAATTTGAACCTCTTTAGCATCACAATCATGAAGCAAAGCGGGTTTCAGCTATAGAAAGCAACTTTAATCCCACAAACTCATTAAACATTGACAGTCTCATAGAATGATTCATTATGAAGTGCTTTATTGCAGAAACATCTCCAGCAAGATCAGAAATCCAACTACATTCCTCATACGTTATTTGATTATTCTCCACATTTTTTGCAGCACAAATATTTTTCACAGCTAAATTTAGTGTGTGAATAACACATGGTGTCCAAGTAATATATGGAAATTCTTGCTCAATAAGATGCCTTGCTCCCTTACAATTTGCAGCATTATCTGTGATTACTTGAACCACTTTTTCATGTCCAACTTCTTGAATTACTTCTTTTAACAACATGTAAATAAAATGCCTATCCTTAGTCTCTCATGAACAATCAACTGATTTCAAAAATATAGCTTCATCATCAGATACTGCCATAAAATTAATAAGTGGCCTGCTTTATGAATCACTCCATCCATCACTCACAATATTAACACCATTCTCATTCCACCCAGCTCGAATAGGTGCACACAACCTATCGATATTTTCCTTCTCTTTCTGCAAAAGAGTGGTTCGTAAGGAGTTATATCCTGGTGATAATCCTTGCTAAAGTGAATGGCAATCCTGCTGAATAAAACATCCTAGCAATCAAGTGGTTCAATTCTTCCCACACCCCAACATTGAATGCCCTCTCAATAGGATTTCTAGATGAACTTCCACCCTCACTTCCACTTCTTCTTCTTTTTGAGTTTAATTCTACGAAAAAAACGAGAAGGGGGTAAAGGCACATTTTTGGGGGCATTATTCTTCAATCTCTCACTAGTTTCTTGTTCTAATTTCTCCATCTCTAGCAAGTCTTTTGTCTACACATGTAATCATTTTGCAATTCCTTTACCTGCTATATTTAGCAAATGATCCCTTATTCTAGTATATGAACTTTTAAAATCCTTTTCACTAAAATTGCATTTCCAAGATATATTCCCTCCTGCTTTCGTTTCGGTGCCTACTTTGGTAACATATTTCCATAATGGCTTCCTTATAAACTCATCGTCTCCACTATTTGCAATGCTTGAATTCATTCTAAAAAAAAAATAAAACACTATGAATAAAATAATGACTTCTGCAAATAGAACAATTAAATTAAAACAGCAGCATAAGAATTCCATTAACAAACCAATTGGACAAACTGTTAAAATAAGACAAATAAAATAAAGACATTGTGGCCTTTTGTGTTCAAAAACTGTAGGAAAAATAAAATAGTTCAATCTAAACTAATTTAAACTAGTTTGAATTAATTTATATTTTGAACTAAATTGATTAAATATAAGAAAATTAATTGATAACAATTAGTTTAGTTTCATCTTCAAAACCAATTAATCCATTCTGTGACGGTGTGACTAATGGTGCGCATAGGTGTTGGTTTTAGACTTGTAGGCAACTTCAACTTCAAGTGTATAAAAGTATTTAAAAAATTTATAAATATTAATTAATTCCAAGTTCTACATCCTACTAATCCGAGTTCTCCTTCAACAGATTATCAAACTAATACCAAAAGAAGGATCCAAATCTACAAGAAACACGGGTTTAAAAAATCATTGCAATTTTCTAGAAAAGTGGAAAAAGATCAAGGAGATTAACACGAGCAAGCAGTCAAGGAATCAATCCAGTAAATCGAAATGACCATAGCTGTTAGAAATCGGACAGAAAATTGTGATAAATGAAAAGTAAATGGCAAAACCTGATATCGCTCGAATCTGCAAAATTGGGGGCAATAGAGCTTAGATCGGGAATGAGGGGATTTAGAGAGTGGGAAATATTAATCAACTGAAACACAACGATGAGAGAGAGAAAGAGATTAGAGAGAGACCAGATTAAAGAGAGAGGTTAGAGCACTTACCGTTATCATTATAGACCACGAAGAGCCACAGACCACAAATGAGAAAAGCGACGGCAGATCGTTACAAACCATAAACCAAGAAGAAAAATAGAAGAATGAGTCACGAAGATAGGCAGATGCCAGAGAGACCACATCGAGAATGAAGAGTCACGAAGAAAAATAGCAGACCACATACTAGTGAGACGGAGACCACAGCGATAATGAAGAGAGAAGAAAGAGCCAGACCATAGCGATAAGTTTTTATTAAATGTTTTTTTTAAAAAAATTAATTTTATTAATATACTTTAGTTTTTTAAAAATATAATTTTTAAAAAATATTATGTTTTTTACAAAAATGTCATTTGACCGTGTCGGACACGATCAAATTCGCGTGTCGAAATGGTCAACATGTCGGGAAGTTGACCGCATGTCGGACATCATGTCGAAGCGTGTTGGTGTGTCGGACACGACACTCCCTGTTTGTTGAGGTGTCCATGCTTCCTAGGTATTCATGCTATTCACCCTTCATTTGGAGGAGTATTAGAAATATAGATAATATTTTATTTTATTTTAGATTATTATATTTGTTATTTTATTTTAAGGTAAGTTGTAGAGTTGTTACAACCTCACTCCTTTATATATCCTCTATTGTGATATTCGAGAATTTTCTATTTCCTCTTTTGCTCTTCTATATAAAAGCTCCAATTATGTACAAATCTATTACCAATCTATGATATCAATTTTTTTTCCCTTATTTCTCTTTTCCATAATTCTAATACTCATTTCCCTCTGCCAATTGCCTCTTATTCTTCCTTCTACTAATAATTTGGCACTATTTCATTGAATTTTATGAGTGAGGCGACCAAATTTATCAAAAACCGAGGATATGGATAAGAAAACATGTGTGACATTTAAGTCCATAATCTCAATAAAGTTTACATATCTAATTACGAGCTTGACAACAACAATAATTGTAATTGAAATCAGTTCTTATTGCACATATATTCTTGCAATACGAGTTTGATTTTTGTATCAGCTAGCAATCACTAAGGTAAAGCCAGTTTTACTAAGCGGCGCCGTCCAACCATTGAGATGCAAGTGTCACCATCTTGTGACCCTTGTCAACCGACCATGGTCCCCTTTCATCGTCAACCATTGACAAAAGGAAGAGGGAGAGAATGTTGGAGAAAATTACTTGGTCTCTTGGGCGTGCGTCTATATGTAAGAAAAAATAGTGTAGCTTTTATGACTTTGAGGGTGAGAAAGGAATAGTCTCAGGATAGATAGTGCACTTCATTATTTTCCATTTGAGTTTTCTGAATTTATAGTGGAGTTTCCTATGAGTTCTTGAAGCCAACGTGAATAACCATACAAATAGAATCTTTCTTCTTCGAGAAGGATGGTTGCCTTACAAAACAAACAGCAAGAGCCAAATTTGATGAAGAACTGGTTGATGTACTGCTGCACAAATAAACTTTTAACCTTTTGTTGAAGGGTTCACTTTTTGTACGGTAGATAATTTATCTACGTTGAGTCTAAATCGACATCGTTTTGAGGCAGAAATGAAGATATTTTTATAATTATAATTTATTTTAGAGTTATAATAATCTTTTCTATTATAATTTTTTAATTTTTCAATCCAAAACGACATCATTTTAAAAAAAAATATAGATAATTTATCTACATTCACTTTAGAAACATTAAAGCCTTTTCTTTAATATGTGTTTGTGTATAGAAGAAACAAATTATAATATTCTCTGCGCGCATTATCTAAAAATCCTTTTCGTTAATGTGTTTATGTAAAAATCTTTTTAAACCGTAATTCAAAAAAAAAAAAAATTTCTTTTTAAACCGCAAAAGATAATTTTATCTTCTTCTTTTTTAGTTATCTAATAATTTTATCTTCTATTTCATAAGAAATATTACACTTTCGTAATTTAAAGAATAAAAGCTCTAATAAAAATGATCATCATTCTTCGTATACATACATATATATATGTATTGGAAAAATATTTCTCAAGCAGCTTGAGATAAGTTTATCTCCGGCTACTCTAAAATTATGTTGTTTTATTTATTTATTTCCTTATATTAATTGATTCACCTTTGAATGGTTATGATTCTCTTTTTCTCTCTCTTCCTTTGTCAGTATTGATCCATCTTTGTACGGTTATGATTTAGTAGCCGAAGATAAGATTATCTCAAGTAGCTTGAGAAACGATAAGCCATATATATATATATACACACACACGTATATGTGAGAGTAGCGGTGAGAATAGATTAACGAGTCGTTGATCTTTTTTGATCTAACGGCTCTCAGATGAGGTGTCAAAATTGAAATTTGACACCGGTGTCAAAAGATCTTACCTCATATATATATATATATATATATATATATATATATATATATATACACGTATACGTGAGAGTACCGGTGAGAATAGATTAATGAGTCTATATTTAGCCTACCAAGTAATTTATTGTCTAATTTATTGAATGAATAAATATTACGGAAAATAATAATATGTCAAATACTTATTAATTTAATTTACACAATTTACATATACTAAGTTTACAAGAAATACAATAAAATTATTCTTAGATGTGAGGGTCAAGCTTTTACGAAAATCACCTTCTAAATTAGTGTATTTTTTTTTTTTGGTAAACAAATTAGTGTATTTACTTATTATCTAAATATACACATAAAAATTATGATACTTAAATAAAAAAATTTAATTATATGTCAAAAATTTCATCTTGTACATAATATAATAATTTTATGAATGGTTATATGGTTTGAATTTTTTTAATTTATTTAACAAAATTATACAATGACTTCTGAATAAAATTTTAAGTCGTTTCAAAAATGCTTTCATAAAAATGTCACACTGAATCAAAATTAATTATAAGGATCTATAATAAGTAATAGACTAAGTTAAAATCGACATTTTGCAAAATAACTCAGTTGATTCAGACAAAACCAAATGTAATAGAACCCATTTCTACGGATACACGAGAGATCCAATGCATATTTTTGGAAGTAACTATTATTATAGTTAGAATATTTTAATATTTATGTAGCAGAAATGCCAAAAATAAAATAAAAATCATCACCATGCACATTATCCACTTATCGCAATCCTCTCAATTTTTAAAAAATTACAACGAATCTTACCTTTTAAAAATAAATGTTTTATAATAATTTTTTTTTAAAAAAAAAGTAGAAAAAAGTAATTGTTATTCATTGAATAACAACAGCCAGAGGTGCAGTTCTTTTATTTAAAATGCATCTGATCCAAACCCCAGCATCCACTTTTTAGAAGATTCACATTTTTATGTAAGTTTTGTTATTTTTACAAATATTATAAGATGCTCGTAGAGGACACAAGGATTTTTCATTATTCCTAAATATTTTAGAAAGAAATACGATGTGTGTAGTGTATATATCACATTAGAGTGGATAAAATAAATATAATTATGTAATTATTATTATTTTATTTGATAGCCATAATTATCCTTTTGTGACGGGTCAGGCTTCCTGAATGTCCTTGCCCTTGCTTTTTTGACAGTTTATATGTTCTATGATTCATATTTTCACTTGAACCAACTTTCAATTATTATTTTTTAAGAAACTTTATCTGTAAGAACTTGAGTACATAACGGAGAAAAAAATGCCCCCAGTAAAGAAATTATGGAAACTTACCATAAGCAGAATAATTCTATATTTTTAAGGAAGATTTTTTAATAATTAGAATTGTTCATTTTCTCTAACACAATGATATTTGTGCCTCAAATTTTTCAACTAAATAATCCAACCTCCTACCTCCACTAGCAACCAATAACATACCACAAGTTTCATTATTTCAATCATGCATGCGTGTTGACAACAACACCCAGCACCAAGCCTTTCTTTTCTCCAAGTATTACCCCAATTTGTCATTGTGCTGTTTGATTGTGTTTTAATTTTTTTATTCTTAAAACTATTTTATAAAAATAATTATGAAAACATGTTTTTTTTAAAAAAAAATTAAAAGTCAAAACACAAAACAAAAACGATTTAAATATGTTTTCTAAATTTAATTCTAAATACAGTTTTTAAAACTTTTTTTTATAAAATAGATCTTATTAAACTAGTTTTTTTTTATTTTTTTATTCTGAAAATCAAAAAATTATTTTTAAATACGGTATTCAAACAAGACATAAGTCTCGAGCTCCAAAACCCAAGTTCCAGTTCAGGTTCTTCGAACTGACCATGTCTGCTCCAATATTGCCACTTTATCACGCTTAAGTTTCTCCATTTGCAGCTTAACTAGCTTTATCGTACAAAATTTCTAACCTGGACCACAGCGTGCCAAGGTGTCCGTCATAATCTTCATGAAAAAAATGGTGTGGTATAGTGACAGGACACCCAAGTGACCTTAAAGTCCTAATTAAATTTGCATCTACTAAACCACCAAAAATAAAATAAAAATGCAACTAATAAAACTAGGGTTTTATTTTTCTTATGTTGCATGAGACAAGTTGTCTCATGCAACACACAAAAAGTGGGTGGGACCCGCTTTTTTATTTTCTCTCTCTTCTTTTTTAGTGGGTCCCATTCACTTTTTGTGTGTTGCATGAGACAACTTGTCTCATGCAACATAAGAAAAATAAAATCCATAAAACTAATGACTTTACTTGGGCAGCGCCATTCTTAGTATATCTAGAATTAAGGATTTAAATTATTTCCAAAGATAATACTGGAAAAGATCAAACATATACTTTCATCCTCACCTGCTCAGTTCTCGTATACTAACTAAATTACCATTATTTGATAGTACTCAATGCGTTTAACATCTCAGTCTATCGCTTATATACATATATAGTTGGCAATTTGAGTTGACAATTCATGTTAGATCAACAAGAATTCGATTTGAATATAATACCCTTGGTTCAAAAACAATATAAGAATAGTTATTTGGGTCAAAATCCTTGACACTAATATGATTAGTTTTTCTTTTAGAGATATTCTAATCAGTTCATCGACTTGTGACTAGTAGGAGTATAAATAAGCTATGCTAGGTTACGTTAGGCTTTGACTTAAATAGGTTAGGTCTATGTAAAAATCATTGGGTCTGACCTGACCTGTTAGCCTATGTTGGCCCAAAATTACAAGTCTGGTCTGACCTATATTTAAAAAATAAAAGTCTTGGTCTAGGCCTATTAGTCTGTTTAAGCTTATTAAACATTCAACAATTAAAAGAATAACTAAAATAATATTATTTTATTATTCAAAATTATTAAAATAATAATTTTATTTATTTTATTTAAAATAAATAATATGATATAGACCGACATGTAGACTTATAAGCCCGATATGTACAAAAAAACCTATAGCCTATTTTCTAAATAGGTTTTTTTAAAAGACTAGGCATGTTCTATTTTACTATTTGTAATAAGTCAAGTCTGGCTTAATATAGGCTAGGTCATAGGTCCTTGTAGGCCGGCATAACTCATTTACACCCCTAGTGACTAGTATGGTTCAAGATGAGTCCCAAAATTAAGATTTTAAACTCCTCTCAAAGATGATATTAGAGAGGATCGAACACATGTTATGTTGGCTGATATGATATAATATAAATAATTCACTAATTTTACTTTTTGAATAAAAAAATAGATAATTAACCTAAAAATAATAAATAAAAATGGAATAAATGAGATAAATATGTAATTATTTAACTGTTCAATTTAAACAGGTTAAATAAATATGAAAAATTCATAATATGAAGATGAAAATTGTCACCATTAATAACAAATGTAGAAAACAAAGAGTGCTGTACAAAGAATCTGCTCTGTTCACAATATCATTTTTTGAATTCAAAATTTTAAAAGCTATTAAATGTATTATCCTTCTAATGTAGTGGTATTAACTTCTACTTACTTTCTTACGCATCAAAATATCAATTTTCATACCAAAAAAAATGTTAAGATGATTAAACTAATTAATATGATAATAAACCCGCTCTTTGGAAAAAGATATAGCTTAACAAGACTATATGAGAACTTTAGCTATACAAACCACGTACATTTGATGAAATAAAAACCTAGCTATCTCTTGTACATGAATTAACACGTTTGAAAGTTGAGACATAATAAAACATGCTGGTCTTCCCATTTCGTTGTCTTTTTTTTTTCTTTTTCTTTTTTGTATATTTGCATTTCTCTTTAGCAAACAATATGTTTATAACTCAAAATGATTCGTTGGCACTTGGCACAAAAGGGAGGAGGAGGAGAAAAGATTGTAACATGTTTCTATTATTGGCCGACCTTAATTCAACATGTTTTTCTCTTCTCCTCTTTTTTCATTTTGAGTCAATCAACATATTTTGTGCAATCATCATAGGAAAGGAGATGAGCGGATAGTCAATGTTGCACTCGATTTGGTCAACCCACAAAGAAGTAGTCAACCACTTGGGCTCTCGTGGGGCCCAATCCATCCAACACGATCTTTCTCACTAATAGTGGGATATGAACCATATGGTGATAATCCACTTGCTCCACAATCACCTCAGATACAATCCTTATATGACTCAGTGAGTCATTGACAACGAGTCAACTCACATTAAAACTTCATAACTCGGTTATTGCTCAAACAATCTTCGACGTTAGATATAAAATCATTATATATTTTCACTCTAACAGTTTAAATTTTTAGTTGATTCATATTATGGTGTGAGAGTTTAGCATCATATATATAAAAAGTTGAATTTCATTACAAAATAAATGAATTTGTGTATTATTTATATTTTAAGTTGAAATGGTTCTTGTATGATATTTTCAGTTAGGATTTAGTATTTTCTCTTGTAAATTGAAATAAAGTTATCTTGGGTAAACTTTGGAGTTTGGAGAATAGATAAGACCGTCTTAGGAGAAGAGGAAGACAAAAAAGGGAGTTCACTTAGGAGATAACTTTATCCAAGAGAAATATTAAACCATTTCATTTAATAATTGAATTTTTTTAGATAATTTATAATGAGAAGAATCAACTTACATTAGTATAAGTTTAAAAACTCTTACATACTTCGGTAACGTTGATTTTACTTAATTACATCAAATAATTCTCTTTCACTAAAATTATAAATAGAAGGGGAGGAATTTATTCCAGTGTAAAAATAAGAAATTTTACTCTAAAAATTAGTAATTAATTAATAAATATAATTAATAAATTACAATCTTCAAATATACGAAGATCAACAACTAAGATGAAGAATAAGATTTTTAATTCTTATATCATACTCAAAAGATCCTTTCCCTAAATAGAATCAATGCTAAATAATAGTGTAAATATTTTTACTAAAGTGGCATTTGGTAAATGATAATTTTTTTTATCCGAGAATCATAATTTTTAAGAATATGATAAGAAAATGAGTTTTCTGAAAATGTTAGTAAAAAATTGTTTGATGGGTAAAAAATAATACGAGGAATATTGGATAAGTTTCCTTATTCTTGTCAGTTTTTTCACCTATTTTTTTTTTCTATTTTCACATCAATCCAAGGGGTGGTATTATTCCATGAAATTTTCATTCATAATTTACACACAAAATGGATTTCCAAGTAAATTACTTTCTTGAGTAATTTTTTTGAAATATGATATTAAATATGATTTTCTTGAAAATCCACCCTCGTAGTCTAAAAAAAATCCCCCTATATATCATTTTTGCTGACTCAGAGTATAGCCGTATAGGTAAAGGGGACCCATCCAGAATCCAAAAGGACGAAAAAAAACAAAAAAAAGTTCTATTGCGTAATATTGGAACCTTATGAGGGCATTTTCCACCCCAACTTGTTTTAAATACAGCACCAGAGATTGCTCCATCGTCCATTCAGAGAATTGTCAAAAAAGAACTTCTCACTTTTAAGCTCAAAACTAAACTTAGCAGTCACCAAGGAAAGCCATGGGAAATTGCTTAGTTCTACAAGAAAACATGGTAAGGATCATGAAAACAGATGGGAAAATTCTTGAATACAAAAAAACACCCATCAAAGTCCATCAGGTTCTGAATCAATTTCCTGGCCATGCAATATCAGACTCACTGCCAGTCCTACACCATCTTCACCCCAACACCACACTGCATAACGGTCAATTATATTATCTAGTGCCTCTGCCACATCCTTCACCAAAAGCTACAAAGAAGAAGGTGAGGTTTGCTGAACCAGAAGTAGCAGAAGGTGCTCATGAAAGTGGCGTGGTTAGGATTAAGCTTGTTATTAGTAAGCAAGAACTGCATGATATTCTGCAAAAGGAAGGGATTTCTATTCACGAGATGTTATCTCTAGTTCATGGTGAAAAGGGATTTGATGGTCAAGATGAGTGTAAAAAATGTGACGATGGTTCTCAAGGTTGGAAACCAGCGTTAGAAAGCATTGCTGAAGTAAACTAGCTATATGTATATTCCAAGTTTTCAGTACTTTTTCTTTCTAGCTCTCTGTTTCTTTTTTTTCTTTTTCTTTTTCCTAACATGTATAAATACATTAAATGGTTTACTTACCAAAAACATATTACATAAAATTTAATAGGGAAAAAAGTTTCCGATGTTACTTTAGATAACTTTGTTTAATGTTCATCGAAACGACGTCGTTTTGGGGTTGAAAAATTAAAAAATTTGAATGATAAAGACTATTATAACCCTGAAATAAATTAAATTTACAAAAGCACCATGATTTTCGTTCCAAAACGACATCGTTTCGATGAACATTAGATAAAGTTATCTAAAACAGTGTTTAAAAATCCGGCCCAGCCATCGACCCGGCTGAGGTCAGGGGTCATGGGGTCACGGGTTCAACCGGGGGATTACGGGGTCACTACGCTGACTTGGTTTTATATATTAAAAAATATAAATATTATATCCTATATGAAAATATTAAAAAACAAACCACCAATCATCAAAGATTCAAAATATACTTAACATAATTCACCAATTACAACCACAAGTTAATATTATACAACCTAATTAAAGTATCAAGATACCAAAGTACAAAAGTATTCATATTCTAATGGGGTAACTACGCTGACCCGGTTCTGCCTCTTTTGAGAAGGTCTCCCGTAAAGGAAAATTCAAAGGAAGTAACAATGCGTTTTTGTTTTCCATCGACGACCGTAAGGATTTCTCTTACCTTTTCTAGAAGATTCACAACAGCGAAGTGAAGATTGAAGACGTCTAGGAGGTCGCTGGGAGAGAAGAGAACAATTAGATTTAGGTTTACGAGCATTTTTATTTTTTTATTTTTAATAAAACGATGTTGTTTCGTGGAATTTAAAAAAAAAAACATGCAGTGACCCCCTTTGACCCCTCTGACCCGAAAGTCACTGAAACCCGGCCGGGTTTTGGGGGTTGGAGGGGTCGATATGCATATAGGGTCCAACTTATGACCCCCTTTGACCCCTCTGACCCGAAAGTCACTGAAATCCGGCCGGGTTTTAGGGGTTGGAGGGGTCGATATGCATATAGGGTCCAACTTATGACCCCAACCCTCAGAATGGAGGGGTCAGGGTTGACCCGGGTCAACCCGGGAGGCGGGTTGAGGTTTTAAAACACTGATCTAAAGTAACTTTAGAAAAAACAAACCCTATTTAATAAGATAAGATATTCATACTATCACTTTTTTCACTACTATCTATTATCATTCACTATAACTATGTATTTCAGGGAGTACATAGTTATAATATTAGAGGTTTTTTTTTTTCAGAAACTTTTCAAAGAAAAAGTGCTGATCCAAATATTATTGGAAATGTAGTGAAAAAAAAAATAATAGTATGAATATCTCTTCAAATTTAATTATGGCCAAAACAATAAAAGTTTTATTTTTTCTGCATATTTAGAACTCAAACATATCATCAATGATTAAGGTGAAACAACGTGAGAGTTGATTTATATGTTTAGTGGTATAAAAGTTAAATCATTATGGATGAACAAATAGATTAGGACCAATAATATCAGTTAATTTTCTTAATTACTCTTTTGTTTTGTTTTCATTCAAATAATCCTTGTGAAGAGCTGGGGGCTAGCTAACATGCATGCAGCAAGAATAGCAACAGAAAGTGCGTTCCATATATGACAGCCACATGACCACGGAAATATTTAATATTTAATATGGTCTGCGCTCATTTATGACAAGCCAATGAAAAATTGGTATTTTCTGACTTGCTTATAGGGAGGAGAGAGAAATTTTATTTTTTCTCTAAGTGGCAGCTCCTCAATGGAAGGAGTAAGTGTGTCAGAACTAGTATAAATAATCTCCATGACCACACATGTGAGCCCTTCATCTTCCATCCCGATCCCTTAGAAGACTAGCAACAGAAATAAATTAAAAAAAAAGATGGGACTGTTAAGTATGCATTTATCATAGATTTTAAAAGCTAAAACCATGGCATAGGAGAATTAATCGAGAAAATATGATTATAACTGTGTCGCTATTGCTTCTTACTGGTGACAGTAGTGGAATTTCACATGATTACTAGCACTACAAACACAATTTGATGACACAGGTCAACTTCTAATAAGTGTCTAAATCTGACGAAAGAGCGGTCTTCCATTTTTATCATATGTGTATAGTTAAGTTCGGTTTGATTTTCTTTGTTAAATCAAACTTAATTAAAAAAAATTCAGTTTTTAGAACTGAATTAGTTTATTAATTAGGTTCAGTTCTAATCAGGTTCATAATCAGTTCGGTCTTCCATTTTTAAAAATTAATTTCTTAAATGTAGTGTTTTTTGTATTTTTTTGCAGACCCTTAAAATTGATTTTTGAACAAGTTTTGAACCCAAATGAAAAATATGAAAATATTGTTGAAATTTTTTTAAAAAAAATACCACAAATTTGAAAAAAAAAAAAGCAATAAGAATTAAAAAGAAAAATAAAATAAAGTAAAAATAAGAGAGGAAATTACATAAGAGAAAAAATAAAAGAAAAGAAAAAATAAAGAAATAAAAATAAAGATAAAAGAAGAAAAAAAAATAAGGATGAAAAATAAAGAGAAAAAATATAAATAAATAAATAAGAGAAGAAAAAAAATAATTCTGTTCATAATTTTTTAAATCAGTTCGATTCATGTACGGGCCAAAAAATAATCAGTTTGATTCAAGAACTATTTTTTAAAAAATTATTTTTTTTAGGTGTATTTTAATTTAATTTTTTAGTTCTTTTGCGTATCCCAATGCATGTTCACTCTGACTCCCGAATTAACAGTAAGAGTAATAATATACACTTATGTCCCCCTATTTTTCTTTTTTATTTTTTCTTTTCAGTTTTGGTCAGAACCATAACATGCTGAATATTAGGTAGTTGATTAACAAAATTAGGCTTTGGGCAGCCAACCATAAAAACCAGGATTGTCTGTAGTTACCACCAAAGAGTGAAACGAATAAACGATCGCATTTTTTTATAATTGCTTCGAGTTGTATATACATTTTTTTTTTTAATCTTGAGACAATAGGTAAATAAGCCTTATATGATCCCAAGAGGTAATGTTTGGCTTGATGGAATAGTTTTTCATGGAATGACAATAGGAATGGGATTAAAAACATTACCATGTTATGTCGGTAATCGGTATGGTTAAGAATGAAATTATTATTCCAATACCTTTCTTACGTTTGGCATGCTATGTAATAGATCAAAGAATGGAATGAATCAAAAAAAAAAAAAAAATTTGATCTCCTATGCTATAAAATAAAAAGTTTTAAATACTTATTTTACAAATTATTATATTTTGTCACCTAAATAATAAAATAAAATAAAAATTGTACCATATTTATATGTATAAATAAGTGAACTACCAATATATATATATATATAGAGGTAGGATCCTTTGACACCGGTGTCAAAATTCAATTTTGACACCTCATCTGAGAGCCTTTAGATCAAAAAAGATCAACGACTCTGATTTGCAAGCATGTGACACTATTGATCTTTTTTGATCTAACGGCTCTCAGATGAGGTGTCAAAAATAAATTTTGACACCGGTGTCAAAGGATCCTACCTCGTAGAGGGGTAGGATCCTTTGACACCAGTGTCAAAATTCAAATTTGACACCTCATCTGAGAACCGTTAGATCAAAAAAGATCAACGACTCTGATTTGCAAGCATGTGACACCATTGATATATTTTGATCTAACGGCTCTCAGATGAGATGTCAAATTTGAATTTTGACACTAGTGTCAAAGGATCCTACCTCATATATATATATATATATATATATATATGGACTTATCGTTTCTCAAGTTATTTGAGATAATTTTATCTCCGGCTACTAAATCATAACCGTACAAAGATAGATCAATGGTGATAAAAGAAGAGAGAGAAAAGGAAATCATAACCATTCAAAGGTGAATCAATTAATATTAAGAAATAAATAAATAAAACGACGTAATTTTAAGGAGATCGAAGATAAATTTATCTCAAAGAGCTTGATAAATATTTTTTTCATATATATATATATATAAAGTGATAACATTTTCAACATACAGGACATAAGCTGAGAGGAAATCATTTTTAAAATAAAATAAAATAAATGCAAATTTGACAATTACATAATCTAGCTTTATGAATGAACTCCAATACTTTATTGGAGCATGTCAATACTTCTCTTGACACTATTCCTATACTCGGCTACTCTTTGTTCTCTCTGGCCTTTATGTCCTCTCTGATTCTAATTGTTTATGTTCTCTCTCTCACTTTTCATTTCTGTTTGTTCTCACTTCCCTGCTAGTTTCTACTTTGTTACAAGGCTTATATTAGAAAAAGGATAAAAACAATCATTTGGTTTTTTTATCTTCTGTAACAGCTGTAATGTTTTTTATCTTCTATAACAGCTGTAATAATTTGTTTTCAATATTTTGTAACAGTTATGTAACTATTTAGGGTCTCTTTGACGTGATATATAAGGCTTGATAGTATAAGTTTATATTATACGTTATGACATTTTCGGTTGATTGGTGTGACCATCGTATAGTATAAGTTTATACAGCAAGATTCCTTAATACATCAAAATGATGTATAATTTAATCAAGTCTTGGAAGGTGGGATTAGGCCTGATAAGGAGTTGATGTATTAATATTGCTTACAAGTACAATTTTCAAGAACTAATATATCATTTCAATATTAATATATTAAAATAATTTTTTTTAATATATTAATTTTTAAAATATTAGAAGATATTATCTTATACAATACTATACCAAATGCTAGATAGTATTAAAATCAGGTCTTATACTATCAGAACCTTATTCAATACTATGCACCAAACATGCCCTTAGTTTTAATCTTTTGTAATAGTCATGTACCTGAGCGTCTATATAATAAAGGTGCATTTCCTTCAATAAAGACATCTCTGATATTCAAATTTATTACGGTATCAGAGCTAAACAGATGATAAGTGAGTGGATCCACAATGCGATAGATCCATCAATACAACCTTACATTCACTACGACTTTGACACAGGCAAAGAGTTGTGGGGTGATTTGAAGGAAAGGTATTAAGTGGAAAACATCCCACGTATTTATCAGTTAAAATGCAGCATCATGTCCATAAAGCAGCAAGGATCAACCGTGAGCAACTACTATACAAGGCTGAGAGTCGCTTGGGATGAGTTGGATGTCAACAGAAAGATTGATGCTTGTACCACTGCAGATAGGTGTGCTGTTTTGAGGTATGTTGCCCAGGAAAATGAAAGGGAACATGTTTATCAGTTCCTCATGGGGTTGGATAGCGAAGTGTTTGGTGATTACGCACACAAATCCTCAACACTACACCACTGCCAAGCATGAACATGGTGAATTCAATGGGGGCTCAAGAGGAGACACACAAGTCCATTGCTCGTGCTCATCCTGACCGTGGAGAAGCAATCGGTTATGCAGTTCAAAATGTGTTGCAAAAGTCAATTTCAGATGTAGGTATGGAACGTGGGAGATGTTCATATTGCAAGAAGCCTGGACATAATGTTTCTGGTTGTTGGCAGTTGCATGGCTACCCCAACAAGCGTGAAGGACATGGAAGAGGAAGGAGTCAAGGTGCTAGAGGACGTGGACAGTCATATGAGGACCAAATGATTGTTTCTATCCTTTTTCTAATAGCTTATGACATTATCTCGTGATACTTTTGGTGAACTTATTTCCTGCATGTTTCTAATTTATTGTTCTTATCTATGTTACTAGTTTTTCTTATTTATCATATTCAGCAGTTACTATAGAATATTTTGTGTATGTATATAATTTTTTATTATAACCGCGCTATTCTTCCGCCATAGGCCAATTGGCATGCACGCCAAAAACTGCCATCCACCATTAATAACACTGTTTATACACACAGCACAAAGAAGGGAATAAGTTTGGTTGTAGATGATGATCACGTCCAAATCCCAGGACAAGTTAATGAAAGAGGAAAATGCTAGAACCACAAAAATATTGATAGAAAGATCACTGGATACATGGTTACACATTTAGATAAACAATTAAACAAGTCCTTGCCACCACACTCCCACCCCCCAACAAATCTCAATCATACTAATTAAACCATGGAGGCCTGTTGCTGGGTATGCCAAACTACAACCTCTTTATAAGCCAAGTTCCCCCCAAAAATATCCAAGGCACTGCCCACGGTAACATCCACACGCTCCATTCCAGCTGTTTTTATCCTCTCTAAGTCCGCCATTACAGTCACACCGCCAGCATAGGTAACAGGAATCTGACAAAATCAAAATGCATCAATAATAATATGCACACTTCATATGGTTTCCAAAGAGAAACACAATGGATATCTGATGTAAGACGTGAGTTTTTAACTGTCGGTCAGTATTCCAGAGCCATAAAATTTCAAACAGTGAAACGTTGTTTTCTTACATTTACCACTCCTCCACAGAAATGAACATAAGCCTCAATTAATGATGCTCCTTCAGCACATCATCTAGGCAGAGACTATATATAATAATTTTCTAAGTCTATACCTCCAATGGTTGTAATGTGTCACATGACATATCTCAAACACTTCTCTTTCCCAATCCTTCACTTGTTATGATGTTCAAGCAATTTGAAAACTTTGTTGCAACATAAAAGTTAAGAGGTGAAAATAAAGTCAAGGTAGCTGAATACAGTTACCAACCGGTGAATATTTGCCAAGCAAAGCCACAAGCTCTTCATCAATTCCCAACCTACGAGGAGTAATCATTTACCATCAGATGTATTATAATGCATACATATGGAGTTGTTTTTGTCATTTCATCGTATGAATTATGTTGATTTTGAAAGAAAAAAACATCAATTGCTAGCTACATTCTTTAATTAAGATTTTACATCACAGATAATTTGAAACATACTTTCACAATTCTTTGATTGGAGTACGAAATTCATAGTTTTTGTTTAATCAACTAATGATTTCACAAGACAAGTGATAAGTGACGTAAACAAATACCAAAACCAAAAACATTCTACTAAATTTATCTTTTTAATTAAACTACTCTGATGGCATTCATACTGAACCACAGTTTGAGTTCAACAGTCCAAATAAAAACTAATACAAAAATTATTTGATTAGTCCAGTGCACTTGAGATAAAAATTCATATCTATTGTTGGATTAAAGAAAAATCTAGAAACACATTTAAATGCACCTATTCTCAAATTGATTGTCATTATTACCATAGAAAGTGGGAGCCTCTCAGATAATAGAAAAATTGAGATCAATATCAAACAATGATGTATGTCGAGAATGAGACCTATGCAAGAATAGAATATAATGAACTTTAATATGTCTTCTAGTAGCAATGATGAAACCAAGAAACACATAGAACAAGCTACATATAGAACAATTTTCTATTTCTTTCGGGAATAGATGATTAATTATTTTATCATATATGGAATTTTAACTCTCCTAATTAATTCTATAACTAGAATCTTTGTCCTTATATGTAGTTATCTAAAGAAATTAAGAATTGTTACTTACTTCTTCCCTTCAACATCAACACCGTGAACCAGAAACTCATCAGCAAAGTTGGCAAGAAATTCCATTACTTTGGCATCAAGTGACACATCACTGAACTTCTGCCATCTATCAGTGACAATTGCATATTTACCTTCCTGAACATTGAAAACCATAAGTGCTTAAAAATAAAAGTCCAATTTATGTGTTGGAAATTCAAATATGACAGGTGAAGCCCACATTGGTTAAGAATGGACCAAGTGAGAGCTATACAAATGAAAAGGCCTATTAAACTTAATGCCTTGTAGTTTTGGATTAAGATGTAGTGTAGAATCCACTAATTGTGGTTTGTCGCTTAACCCATTGATGGAAAAAATCCCTTGCAAGGGTTTTAGGCTCTATCGCACCACTCAACATGATATAAAAGCAAAGGTTTGGCCAGACCAAGTATTTGGAGATGGTGCTGTAATAAAAGAGGCTTCTTCAGAAGCTCACACTTATGTGGTGTAACTCCAATACTTGAAGAGGCATTCGCAGAGGCTTGCCCTTGAGAGGAGCATAATTTTGGGCCTCATACTTGAGGGTAGAATGTTGGAAATTCAAGTGTGGGAGGTGAAGTCCCACATTGGTTATGAATAGATCAAGTGACTGAGAACTATATAAGCGGAAAGACCCATAAACTTAATGCTTTAAGATTTTGGGTTGAGATGTGGTGTCAACACCTCTTATTGTGGTTTATTACTTAGCCCATTGATGGGAAGGATCCCCTGTAAGGGTTTTGGGCTCCTTTGTACCACTTAACAATATGATCAAAAGCATACAAGTATTAGGACTTTTGGATAACATCATAAAATTGTTTCCACTCTTAACACGCATATCAAATTATCAATACATGCAACTTTGTCTGAATTACTTATTAATTCCCTCCCTTAGATTACATGGGATTGCTCTTGAGCATTTTTGTACCAAATTATTAAAATACTTCATCTTTCTTCCTGCATAGCCTTTTCTAGGACACAACTTACCTTTGAATATAAAGATAACCATTTATACCTTTTTTCTGCAACTGAGATCCAACACAAGCCTCTCTCTTCCAACAATTCGAACAAGATCTTTTAGCCGTCCAAGATCCATTTGTCCATTGTTGAATACATACTGTAAAGACAGAATTAATAAATACTATATATCTAACATATTGTTCCATTAACAAAATGCCACATCACTGGTTTTCTTCAATAACATAATCAATGGGTTGAGTTACAAATCAAGATTGGAGACCTCCATGCAAATTGCTGTGCTTTTCTATGTTTACATTATATATATATCAAAATGAAAAGGAAACTGTTCTTTGATTGCAGGCCAAGCCCTACAGATATAATGTTCAAAGGTACTTCAAAGTGGATTTAAGTAGGAAGCCCTATCTATACACATTTATTGAGACATGTTTTCTTAATGGATAAACGTTAATGGGAAATAAAAAGTTGAACAACCAAAGAAGGATAAAAGAGATACAACTTACAGATGTTACAATGACATGGCTTGCTCCTTCCTCAATGTAACTCAAACAATTGTCAGAATTTATTCCCCCTCCAACTTGGAGACCGCCTAAATTTTACCAGTCCTCCACAGTAAGTTCAGCAGAGGAAAAATCTGTAAGTTTTAAAGATATAATCAACCATAAAGGACAATGAGATGCATATTTTGCTAAGACAACATTCTCCCATGTTATGTATATAAACATGAAATCAAGGCAAAGCAGACACTTCCAAGGCTAACTGCCATATAAAGGTCTCATGTCAACAGAAAGGCCGAGCAGAAAAAAGTAGCCCGAGAGCAAGTTCTCAATAACAATTACACAAAATATGAAATTGGACATTTGCCATATAATTTAAGACCTGTAGCTTTTTATTTTTTCCATTTTTTGGAGTTTAAATTTGATCCAGTGTCACTCTACAGGGACAGGAAACAAAGAGGTGCCATATCATTATAGATTTATAATAACTAAATTTTTACTACTAATAAAAGCATGTAATTGTTGTTAAGATAGGTCACACCATAAAATTACCTGATAGTGCAAAACTTCTAAAGATAGAAAGTGGATCGAAATTCTTAAGGGGAATGCTAGCAACACACTCTTCAACACTCTCTTTACAACACACACTTTATTATTGGGTGAAACCCCATACTGGTGCTACCAAATAACCTGTGTCCACTTTCTATTAATAGGGCCAGCACCAGATTCCACCCAATAACAAAGGGTGTGTTGAAAAGAGAATGTTAAAAATTGTGTTACTAGCATTTATCAAATTTAAAATCAAGAAAACAACCTATATCAACCTTGTATCACATTCTTCTACAACTAATTAGTTGCTAATATCAAACACAGAAAACACAAATCAGTGGCAGCATAGAGAAAGTCCCAATGGATAATAATACCGGGATAAGCATGCAATGCTTCAAAGGCAGCAGCTTTGCTCAAAGTGTCTGCTCCAAGCATGATTACATGACCACCGGTTAGTCCATCTAGTTTGTAAAGACTGGCATACTCAGCTGCTGACTTATCAGACTCAAAATTGGTCACAGGATCTGACCCTTCACCATCCCCCTTCAAATCTTGAAGGGTCGACCCAACAATTTGTTTCACTTTCCCCTGCCATAAACACACTGCTATAAATATCATCCTCCAAAAAGCACAATCAAATACAAAAAAATAAATAATAATAATAATAAGCTCCTTTTTTGCCTTCACAATATCATAAGTTTGCAAGCGCTAGAAACCTTATGTAAAATAAAATAAAATAGAATAATCTTCATTAATGATTTTACAATATCATCATTGATGATTTCAACATAGTTAAAAAAAAAAACAATAATAACGGTTAATTTTGAAACAAAAAGGGTGGCATACCTTATGTATGTCAATGCAGGGCCGGAATCGAAGAGTGCATTGAATCAAAGTTGGAGATCTTCCTGCTGAGTAGAAAAGCAGATTAGAAAGGAAAAGACTCAGAGAGAAACAGAAGAGAGAGAGAGAGAGAGAGAGAGAGAGAGGTTACTGGAAGCTGAGGAGAGAGGCTTGAGAGTAACAAAAGCAAGCTTGTTGGGGCCAAAGATTGGTGAACTCCCCAAAACCCCGAAGGAACGAGTTGCTGTGAGATTGCGCATTCTCAATCTTCAAAGCTATGATGCAACGGAGGTTAGGCCAAAGGTTTATGGCAATATAATTAAACTCGACCCGGTCATTGATCCGGTCGATGTACTAGGTCACTGGTTGAACCATATGACCTACTAAGTATATACAAATCTAAAATTTATATTAAAAAAACTATAAACATTCTCAAATTTACCTGTAAAAAATGATACCAGTTCCAAATATTCTAATATTAAAAACAATAAATCACACACCATTATCCAACAAAGAATCAAACAAACATATAATGTTTGTCTGTCCTTAAAGATTTTATATCTATCACAAGTCTTAGCTCTCGTCGGAGAAAACAAACAAATCAAATTGCTACAAAAATAATTCAAAATGATCAGGAAAGACAACCAATATTTTATCAAATGAAGATTACAATACTGCCACTGGAAAACTATGGTCTCAAGTAAATAAAGAACTGCTAAATTATCTCAAGTAAATTTAACCAAACATTGCATAAAGCAACAGACCAATAGACTTGACCGTTGTGAAAGTTCTTATTTCTTAGTAATGTTGACAAATATCATAAAGATTTTTTTTAAAAAAAAAAAAAAAAAGCAACACAAAAAACGAAAACGGAAAAGGCTTACCGAGCAACACAATCAACAGATCAACAGACCAGTGAGGTTGATTAGATGGTTTACCTAATGAGATTCTTGGGAGTTGGAAAGAATTCTGAGAGCTTTGATTGCGGCACCGATCAAGCTACTACCGGATAAGTAAATCCCCCTTCATGCGAATTCGAATATGAGAAGAACGAAAAATAGAAATGGAAATGGAAAATTAGAAATGAAATGCTCAAGTAGCGCAGAGAATGGAGATGCTGATGGCGACGCCGATTCCGATGGCGGAGAGGGTATAACGGTAGATCTTCATGAGTGTGGTACCCCAATAACTCTAAATCAACACAAAAATGCTAGGGTTCCTATGTCAGTCAACAAATGGAGAAAGAACGCTTAAAATGAAATGGCTTATCTATTAAAAAAACGAGATCGTTTATAATTATTTTTTCTTTTTATTTTTTGAGTTACCTAACTCTAATTATTTCTTTGAGGCGAGTTGGCTCTTTTCGATATCCCCATAAACTTTGACTCTTTGAATCAGCTATGGGACTAATTCAAAGTGCGGGATCGGTGATGGCTAAAGGTTCAGCCTCCTTACCGAGAATACATTCAGTAACCAACTGAGCTCCACCCACATCTCCTGTTTAAATAAAAATAGCAGTGTTATTGGTTTTGACCAAAATCGGCCAAATTTAACCGGTTTACACCAATTCGATTGTTTGACCGATCTAAGTTGATTATATGATCATTTTATTGGTTTTCATGTCGATCTGACCGGTTCAATCCGAATTTTTGAACACTGATTTATGGGTTATTAACATTGTTGGAGAAAATTGAATAAATATTTCGAGGGAATTATTATTTGATCAAATATTTTACTTTGGTGCATTTAAAAATAATAATAATAATAAACGAAAACTATTCAAAATTCAAACAACTATTAGTAACAATAAAATAATAAAAAATAAGCTTACCAAAAAATAATAATAAAAAATAATAATAATTGTATTGTCAAGTTCAAGTATATTGCTTTTTTTTAGAATTTAAGGTGAATTTGTTTTAATTTTAATATTTTATTAATTATTCGATTAGTCTCATTTGACCCGGCAAATGATCGTTACGATAAAATTTTCCCATCAAATTTTTAATATAGTTATATACATAAATACTCAAACTCGAAACAACATGTTAAGCTGTAACACCCTCAGTCAAAGTGACCTCATTAATACAACATCTATCTAATATGTATATGTAAAATTACATATAAAGCTAGAATATAATACCCCTTTTATTGTTAGAGAGTAATTGTATAAATTAGAGTTCAAGAATTATAGCCTTTGTGTAAAGAAATCTTTTGAATGATACTTTGGTGGCAATCTTTCCAACGAAGTTTTGCCTATCCTATAAGTTTAATTTATCCATACTCTCCTAGAAAAAAGAAAAAAAAGTGTATTACAATGTTTTCTTTGAGAGTACCTAGATCACTTGCATCATGAATAAAGAAGTGAACTCCACCAGTGGCGGAGCCAAGAATAAATTTTAGGTGGTGCCAAAAAATTTAACATATCAAAATATTTATCATAATTATCCAAATTTATCACGAAAAAAAATTATTATGAATTCTAGCAAGTTTATCTAAATTATTTACTAAGTAATGTCACGTAACATTAAAATTTAAATAAACAATTGCCAATAATTATATATCAAAGCAAACATAAAAAGAAACTAACCTTTCTGGTAAGCATTTCACTTTCCTCCGACAGCATAATAAGTAATGAACCAAGTATTGTCCTGAGGATATGAATGCATACAAATGTAGTAATTATATGTACAATAACATTTAATAAATAATTTAAATATAATAAAAAAATTTGCATACCTAAAATTATAAACGACGCTCTTTTAAATTGACGAAATCTTCAAGGATAGAGTCTGTAGTAAAAGTTTCAGCAATCTCTCTTTCAATATACACAACCAAATTATTTGCAAGAAAGTCATCCTCCATTTTGTTTCGAAACCTTGTTTTCACGATTTTCATTGCTGAGAATGCACGTTCACTACTTGCTTTGAAACTGGTAGTGTTAACATAAAACCAATAAAACAATAACTCAAGCAGCCAAACCTTAATTAAATAAAATCAATAAAACAATAACTCAATAGCTCACCGAAAAGTTCTAAGTTTCTTCCAAATGCTTGATACCTTAAAACCAATAAAATAAACCAAGTAAAACATCAACAAAAGTACATAACGTTGGAACCCACATAACAATAAATCAAGAAAATGCAAAAAAATAAACATAATCTGATAATCGTCAATAGCTCACCGAAATAAAAAAAACAATAAAAAAACAATTACCAGACTACTAGAGGATGAGGATGAGGGGAAACAACTCCATCAGACCATCACTAGTAGTCAAACTTCATATTTTTCCTTTGAGCATCATTACCAGACTACCCTTTTTTTTAAAGCTTTCAAAATAAACCCTCTTTCTTGCATCCCCCTCCCTGCTGTAATGAGAAGACCTTCGAGCAACGTGCCTGTCGGGTTGCATGTTTGTTTGGGTAATTTGTAGCTAGACTAAAGTAGAGACAAAGTGTAGAGATGGGCTATGAAGAGGAGAGTCCTCCAGTTGATAAAGGACAATATCAACGGCTAGTTGGGAAATTGATATATTTGGCCCATACTAGACCAGACTTAGCTTATGCTGTTAGTGTTGTCAGTCAATTTATGCACGATCCAAAGGAGAAACAATGCAGGCAGTAGAGAGAATTCTTCAGTATCTGAAAGGTACTCCTGGTAAAGGGTTGTTATTCCGACGTGAGGGCAATCTATCTTTAGAAGTCTACACAGATGCTGATTATGCTGGATCCGTGACTGACCGTCGTTCTACCACTGGTTATTGCATGTTTCTTTGTGGTAACTTGGTGACATGGAGAAGTAAGAAACAAGATGTGGTCGCCAGATCAAGTGCAGAAGCTGAATTTCGAGCTATGGCTCAAGGCATTTGTGAGTTACTATGGCTGAAAATTGTACTTGATGATCTAAAATTAAAATGTGAGGGACCTATGAAGCTGTTATGTGACAATAAGTCCGCTATTTGTATAGCTCATAATCCAGTTCAACATGATCGGACTAAACATATTGAGGTCGACCGCCATTTCATCAAAGAGAAACTTGATAGCGGGTTGATTACCACTCCATACATCCCACTGGGCGTCAATTAGCTGATCTATTGACAAAGGGGCTTCCTTCAGATAGATTTCAAGAACTTGCTAGCAAGCTGGGAATGATAAATATCTATTCCTCAGCTTGAGGGGGAGTGTTGTAAATAGTAATTATGTAGTCATTTATTAGTAATTATGTAGTCATTTATTAGTAATTATGTAGTCATTTATTTGTATTTATTTAGTCCGTTACTTGTATATTGGGCCAGGCCCATTAGGTCAAAATTAGGTCAAGAAGTCTCTATAAATAGAGACCCCTATGTACAGATTCAAATACGATTCAATAATATTTCAAATACCCTTTTATTTCAAGTGTCATGCATGCACAAATTCGCTGCACTGTGTAGCGAATTTAGTGCATTTCCCTGCCTATAAAAACCCCTCGTTCCCTCTCCCCTCCCCCACCACTCTCCCTCACTGCCTCTCTCTCTAAGTGACTTCTCTCTCTTCAAGGTTAGTTTTTTTTATTTAATTTATGTTGCTTTAATAATTTAATTAATTTGTTATTTTATGCTTTATTTAATGTGTCATTTTATTTAATAGTAATATTTGAAACATTAGGTTAGTTAATGTGTTATTTTATTTAATGTTAATATTTTTTTTTTGATAATAATAATGTTAATATTTTTAACATTAGGTTATTTAATGTTAATATTTGAAACATTAGGTTAGTTAATGTATTAATTTTAATTAATGCATAATTAGTTGGTTGTATTGTATGTAATTTGTGACTTATAGTTTAAAATATTTGTAATATTATTTAATGTTGATAATTGAAACCTTAGGTTAGTAAAATTGTTATATTTTTTTATGCTTAAATGTGTAGTAGGTCTATTAATGTAATATTTTATTATGCCTTAATAATTTTATAATATTATTCAATGTTAGTAATTGATACATCAATACTTAGGGGTGATATAAATTTATTTCTTACATAAAAGGTTAGTTGTAATTCATTTATTACTTAATTTTTATTTATGCTTTAATTATATTTGAAAATTATTTAACGTTAGTACTGAAACCTTAGGTTAGTTATAAAATTATTTAACGCTTAAATGTGTTAATTTATTTAATGTTGATATCTGAAACATTAGGTTAGTTAATGTATTAATTTTAATTCATGCATAATTGGTTAGTGTCATTGTATGTCATTTGCTACTAATATTGTGTAGCGTTAATAATTTTATATTTTATGGTACGAAATTAATTAGTGTTAAGTAATGCGAATATTTGTAAATTATTAATTGATATGTAATTTGTGTTTATTATATTATTTATGCTATCATAGTTTTTAGAACATTCGCTAATATGAATTATTACTCCAGATACATAGATCTATGGACCATGATGATGCACATCGACCGAGGTCTCCACGTAGCGTGATTGACTCTGGGCCGGAAGACAAGAGTCTTTTAACTTTACAGGATAAGCATGTGTCGACACATGTGTGGAATACATGTGAGAATCCAAATGCTGAGGATCGTGTGCTGAATGTGCGACATGTTGCGACACATAATCACGATGACATCACGGAGGACATTAGGCCTTGGCTTATGCAGGCAGGGTTCTACCATGTTGCGCGCTTGCGCAATCATGAGGTTAGTACGCATTTTTTGTATCACCTTGTAAATGAGTTTTGTGATAATAATGTCCTTCTATTTCTCACATGAATATTAATTTTATGACTACAGATCGACCATCACCTTGTGTCAGCTATAAGAACCTGCACCGTTAATTAAGGAAATTAAGTAATTAATTATGTTAAATTAGGAAATGATTCCATAATTGACCCTAATAATTATTAAGAGACTTTAATAATTATGATAAGTGATTAAGAATGTTGAAAGTCGCTTTTCGGAAGAAAAGTGCAGATACCGGTTCTGCTAGTCAATATAAACGCGTACCGAAAAAGTATCCTGGAAAATTATAATAAGTGCATGATAATTCCTAGAATAATATTTAGGACTTGTAAAACGAGTTTCAAGTCAAAATAATGAGAACTGGTGCCAGAAACTGATACTGGCTATGAAAAGCGCGTACCAGAAAGGTGCTCCGAAAAATATAATAAAAATATGATAATTCTTGTAAAATTGAGTAGGTTAAGAATCCAAAGTTTGGGATTAAAATGCTAAGTGTAGCAATTAAAGTTAATACTGCGTGTTTAATGCTT